TGAAGGGGACAAACCTATACAAAACTAAAACTGAAAGATATAGATACAAAAGAAAATTTAAGTATATCTGAAATTATTCCTGTAGATTATATTGAAGGGGTATTTAAAAAAAAAAGGACCAGTTCATGTAATTTATGAACAGTTTTTGATGATATTAATCTGGAACAGAATGAAATGTGATAGGTCAAGTCCAAGTGAGAAGTATTAATTCTGTATTTTCTACTGGGTAAGTTTTTGTGTGTTAGGTAAGAAGCAATTTTGAAATTCTTAAAAGCCTCTTTGATCATTCTGTACAGCAAAAGAGACATTACTAAAAACAAACAGAAAGATCACTAATTGGGAAAACATTTTCTCACACAAAAGTAGCGATAAAGGACTGATCACAAAAATATACGGAGAACTGACGAAACTCAACAAAAATAAAGTAAACAACCCCATCAAAAAATGGGCAGTAGAGCTAAAAAGACACTTCTCCAAAGAGGAAATGCAGATGGCCAACAGGCATATGAAAAAATGTTCAACATCACTCGTAATAAGGGAGATGCAAATTAAAACCACAATGAGATACCACCTCACCCCAGTGAGAATGGCACATCTTCAAACAACTAGCAACAACAATTGTTGGTGAGGATGTGGAGAAAAAGGAACTCTCCTGCACTGCTGGTGGGAATGCAAACTAGTACAACCACTATGGAAAACTGGATGGAGGTTCCTCAAGCTGCTAAACATGGAGCTTCCCTACGACCCAGCAATCCCACTCCTAGGTATCTATCCAAAAGACACAAAAACACTGATTGAAAAAGATACTTGTACCCCCATGTTTATTGCTGCTTTATTTACAATTGGAAAAACATGGAAGCAGCCCAAATGCCCAAAAGTAGATGACTGGATAAAAAAGATGTGGTACATATATACAATGGAATATTACTCAGCAACCAAAAAAGAGAAACACATGTCTTTTGCAGCAACTTGGATGGAGCTGGAAAAGATCATGCTTAGTGAGATAAGCCAGAAAGAGAAAGAAAAATACTGGATGGTTTCGTTTCACTCATAGCAGGAGTATAATGGACCAGGAGAGAAAATAACAAAAATAATGAACAACCATATACCAGAGACATTTTGTGGGGGTGGAGTGGGGAATGGGATCAAAAACGGTGGGGGGGAAGGGGGGGAAATGCGCGAGACTATGGTGGTGGCACACGGGTGATTTGGTGATGGGAAACCCGCGGGGACTACAATCGAAATGGAAAAAAGAAATGTGCAAAACGATGTAAAAATAAACTTTTGTAATAATTAAAAAAGACTCTTTGCTCAAAGAAGACTCAATAATAGTCTGAGAAAATGAGTAAATGTGTGAATGTGGCTGGACTTGGGATTTTCACTGTTGGAAAATGAGACTTTAAATACAGCAGGAGGAAGGCAAGGGAGGAATTCATGGGGTTGGATCTAAATTTGGATATTGCTGAGAAGCCATTTCTGTGCCTCGTGTATGTGCATACCTGTTTATGCCACATATGTTTGTGCACATGTGTATGGACATACATACATTTCCTCACTTTGTGCAAAGGTCATCAAGAAAAATTAATCTCTCTTATCCTATTCCTCACTAGACTAGGACAGGGTAGCAGAAGATAAATTTGGGAACTTCTGTTGTATCAGAAAGTTACGAAAGGCTTTAAACATGGAACATAAAACATGGACAGAGCAACAAGCCGAAGGGCTTCCTGGGTCACATCTGGAACAACTTGAGTACAAAAATAAGTATATAAATTATAAACCACTGGGAAAAGTAGGAATTTGGGAATGCATATTGATCACAGGATGAAGCAGGAGTGCTCTGGCCTACAGTGAAATGCTCAGACCAACAGGTAAATGTAGAGTGTTGGAGCTGAACAGTCATTTTGCAGAGAAGGCACTGGGCAACACTGAGTGGTCAAAATGTACTTCACTTCCTGGGACAGAGTCATACACTACTGGATGGGACAGCCCCCCTCCACCTGTGCTATTTTTTAGTTGCGATGTAGTTGATAAACAGTGCAGTCAAAAGAGATTTTTCAACCGTTAGTAAACTGGTTGCAGTGATGCCTCAGCACCCAGGGGCTGGAGCTGTCAGAGATGCCTCTGTGGCATCCTGCAATGGGAAATCTTAGAATTAATTTGCTTAACTTCCACAAGTAAAGGTGTCTTGAGTCACAGCTCACATCTGAGGGCAACAGAGCAAAGTGGAATTTAGGGTATTTAGGACCTAGGATGTTGCTCACAAATGGGAGCAAGAGAACTGGGAGTAGTCTTCTGTCGACAGGGAGCAGTGTCAGGATTGATCAGGGTCACCTTGGCCATGTGCTAGTGACGGGAAGTCAATGCCATTTGTCCAAGAACCATAGTTTCCCCAATCCTGCTGTTGAGGATTCCTTTCCCCCTTGCATTCATCCTTGAGCAGCCACCCCAGTGAGGCAGGCCCTGCACAAGCCCACTTCTAGCAGTGCCCCAGGAGACATGGAGAGGCCAAGCATCCAGTGTGAACTTACCTGTCATCAAAACAATTCCTGAAGTAGCTGTTGCATCGCAGGGTCTAATATCTCATTCAGGGCAGGAAAGGACTGCCTTCTGCAAAAAGGTTTTTTAAAGAGAATTACTAGTGGCTGTCAACTTTCAGTTGCTCATGTCAGCAGCCTGGAAATCCTAGAGGTTTATAATCTGAACTAAGCATGACTTGCTTACATAAACCCCTTCCTTTTATTTTGGGCCCCCAATGAAAGAACAGACAGTTCATCTTAGCCGGAGTTAACCCGTTTAGAGACCAGACTGTAGTCTCAAAGTTTGGTGTTCTGAATGGAAGTCTAAGGAAGAGTGAGAAGATACCATACTGAAATGGTTTTTAGAGCGCTAACCACATCTAAACTGGGGGAGTCAAATCATGGGAAAATGCCTCAGAGGAAGTTTAACTCATTGGTGCATACTAGGTGCTTTTTAAAGCAGCTAAGAAGCACTCCTTCTCTCACCCACACCTGCCTTCCTGAGACATCCCTCAGCACCACAATCATCTCTTTACTAGGCAGGCCTTCCCTTCCCCCAGAGTGGGGTAGCCCCCAAACCTGACCCAATATGGGAGTGTCTACTTTGCAGGTGGGGGTGTAGGGGGTGAGGACAAGCACAAGAGATGCTCACCAGTGCAGGCGGCTGCAATTTCGTTCCCGCAGAAATGTCCCCACATAACCAAAACAGCCGTATATGAAATGGGGATCAGGACATAAATTTCCTTTCTTCCTCCTCCCAGTCAAAGAAACCATTGGTAAAGCAGCAGAGAACAAATGCTGTATTTAAATGACAGAAAGATAACACTTAGGAACCTCTCTTTCTCATGAAAAACAGACACATACAGAGCTTTGATAAAAATCAAGGCTCTCCTTTGTCCAAAGCCCCTGGTGTGCAATCCTGTGCTCATGTTGTTTGTTTGATGCCATGGATACCGGGGTTGATGGCAGCACACAATGGCCAGGCAGGGAGGAGACCAAAGGTTAGAGCTGATGTTTTCCCCACATGATAGATAACAAGCTATTCTGCTGGGTCTTTGCTGTGGAAAACACTAAAATCCTTATAAAAAGGAACCCCTTCCTCCAGGAGCTCCAAACTTTTTCCATGTTAAGTTAAAGCCTTTATAATTAGGTTTTAAGTCATCCCTTTAATTTGGAACTCAACAGACTTTCAGACTTTAGTAGTTTCCAAATTCATAATGGAAATGAAGATAGAGAATTAAAACAATCTATAGATCACACAGAAAATGAGTGCCTGATATAATCAAATAATGGTCTATAATAAACCCCAATGCAAAAGCCCCATGATTCCAACTTTAAGTCACTCTACACATGGTCCAGTGGATCTTGTAGCCAGTATTAATGGAGTGAGTGAATGGTGTGAGTTAGCAGCTGAGCACTGGAAGTTCTTATTTTCTACTTGATGGGAAATAGGTGATGTTATTTAAAAAAAAAAAAAAAAAAGCAAGCCAGAAAATTCTTTCCAGAACTCAGTAACTTAAATGAGTGGGCCCAACAAGTTCAGTAAAATTATCTTTTGCTTCACATAAATCCATGTTAGTTTCCAGAAAGAGGCAAAATGCTGGGGTCAAATACTGTCACCCACTGACAGCGGCACATTTCCCCAGGGGTGATTCTGTGGCGGAACCTAAGGCCTAAAAGTGAATAAGGAAAAGTTTCACTTTTTCCTACTTCTGCCAATGCACTAAGTCAAAGGAGGCTCTAGGTTGTTCTGTCTGTAGCTCCACTCTCCAATGTGACAGTCAGCAGTCCCCTGGCTAGTGAGATGGGTTATAAAATATGTCTAACATATGAAAGGTCTCTTTTGTCTGAACGCCTGTCTCAGAACAAAGTAGCCTTTGGATGCCAGGCAGTATGAAGTGCCTACATGACAAACCAGATAGTTAGCAAATTACATGAAGGTCATAAATCCATCCCAAAGATCAGGTTTAATGTGTGACGTGCCTGGGTCCTGTCAACTGCTGTCATGATCTGCTTCCAGCATGGCTTCAAACTGGGTTGAGGGAAGCTAGCCATGAGGGGCCCCAGGAAGCTCAAATGTTCAGATATTTGTAAAACACATTCTTTGTGAACATGCCCCTTGCTCACCAAAATCATGTTATTTTTTTAAAAAACACATGCTCTAAAATGAAAGAGGTTTTGAATCTAGAAGCTAGAGCTTTCCTACTCCCTATGGAAGGATTTCATGAGTAGCACTGCAGTGAAACTACAGAACACATGGAAAGGTCACAGAAAGAGGGTGCATGTGGTAGTCTGTGGACATGATGAATGCTGCTTCAAAGAAAACTATTAATATATCCCCCTCATGGTCCAGTACATATACATGAGAAAAAGGGCCTAAAGCTCCGACTGAGTAAACAACTTGCAATGTTTAAATTTAATGATGGGATGAACAAGCAAGTTTGCTGTTTTAATAATTCATGGAAAGAAAATACAAACACCCAATGAATTCATCTCTTTATTGCATATTGCTATTAAAAAAAATGTAGTCTCCTAACACATACAACATTTTTTCCTCAGTACTATAACGACAGTCTTGCACCTAAAGACTAAGTGGTTCCAACTACTAAGCTAGTAAGATACAAGACATATAATTAAGTTTACAAATTATAATGCTTTTTCTTTTTGGCATTAATTTATAAAAACAAACAAAAAACTTCAAAATACACACCCAAGAGAGAAAAGTGGCTACTTACACCAGCACCAATCTAAAAAGTAGGTTTTCTTTAACAATGGCACATGGAATTACCTGCACACAGCTTCTGGGGAAAGAAACCAAAAGATGGAAATGGCGAGGGAGGCCCACAGGAGGGCCGTGTCAGAATGAGGATGCTTACAAAGGGCAAGAGGGTCATGCCACACAAACTTGCTCCTTCATGTGCCTCTCCGTCTGTCTGTCCATTCCTTAAACTGGAAAATAAAGCCATTTTCAAACTACAGTTCCAAAACTGAGCCAGACCAATTTCTCTTGCTATCAATAGAAAAGAATATACAGAGGCACTTTAGTTAAGTACGGAATAGACAAATCCATCAGCATATCCCACTCCTCATCTCTAAGACTTCTGAGGAAAGACTCCAAAGTCTCCATCTGCACCTCTCATGGTGGCTTTGCAGACCTGGGTGATAGGGGCAGGGCGAGCACAGCCTCTGCTGGGTATCGATGACTTCTGTTGGCTGGTCATTTACTTCCACATACTGTGTAGAAAGTCACTAAGTTTGCAATGAGGGGAAAAATGTAAAACCACAGCTCTTGACAACTCTTAGAGCACTACTTCACAGCTTTCACATAGCACAGAGACCTGGCCACCTGTGCTAAGCTTTATAGTTTATACAAATTATTTTTAAATAGCACAATTCGTGTACAGTGCATGCCTTGATATTCTGTTCACCCCTTCATCTCCCCACTAGAATGAAAATTCCTCGGGGGCAGGGATTCTGTCTTGCTTACCATTGTAGACCTACTACGCCTGGCACATAGCAGGTGCCTAATAAATATTTGCTAATTGACTGAAAAACTCAATTTCGTGTGTAAATAATGTTCTAGTGCAATAGGACAAACTACTCTCTCCACAGGAAACCCAACCACAATAGGACTGATGGAAAGAAAAGAAAAAAACTCACTCTCCTCCCCCACTACAAATAAATAAAGTAAAAAAAAAAAAAAAGTAACAGTCCTCTTCATATATCATATAATTTAAGGATATTAAGAGTTGGTAGGTTAATGGTAAGCTTTTATATTTTATTTTCTAATGTTCATTGTTTTTATTCATTTCTCCCTGAGAGTTTCATCTTTTGGACTGAAATTTTACAGGTAGCTTTACTGACATACAATTTAAAATGACAACATATAAACAGCAAACCACTTCAAACATAGCTAGAGATAAATAGATTGTGGCATCTCTGTTGGTGGTGTTGATATTTGTGCATTCACTAATTGTCCTTTAGTCCAGACCAATATTTACAGAAGATGCAGCTTGTCCTACAAAAAAGAAAATACAAAATACAAAAAAAAAAAAGGCACCCCATAATTTTTTTTTTAATAATGTATATCCCATCAGATGACTCCTCCTGTTAAGTCTTAGGTGGGAAATTTCATTTTTATAATTTATACATCTATATTCTTAGAACAACAAATGTATTCTGGCAATCTTGTTCTTCAACAAGAGCATCGAATGTACTTAGATAAATAGTGTTCTTTCCAAAAGCAATGTAAAGAAATCATCAAGAGCGCTTGGCTGAGTACTCAATGAAATTAGGGGGGAAAAAATGATGTTTAAGTCTTACATATAGAAAAGAATTCTGATCAATACTCTACATAGTTCAGATTGTGTGCAAGATGTTCTCAATAAACATTTATAGATGCATCCCCACACCAACGTCAGAAATGCTAAGCTGGTCCTCTATCCATTACTGATATGATGCACCAGCGTCATATCGTCAACCATTAAAAACTATTTTAAATCTATATTTTTCCAGTACCAGTTTCACCAATGAAAATAATTTCAATGCATAACAAGCTTGGAAACCATAAAATATTTCTCAAGCTTTTTTTTTTTTTTTTTTTGCTTTTGTTTTTCTTTTAATCTAGGGAATGTCTGTGTCATCTCTTTCAGGAGATAGTATTGTGCTTCTGAACAGTCTTGGTGTTCAGGGGAAGGTGAGTCACACTCAATATGAATGCATACACAAAGGGCCTCTGAGCACATGTGTTAACATAGACTATTGGGGTGGGGGGGATCATACATATAGGTCTCCAGACAACATTCAGACTTCTATATACATCTTTAATATATATATACACATACATTTACAAAAACACACATTCACACACTCACACACAGGTGAAAGAAGAAATTGCCACTGTTCAAACTGCAAGGCAGTGTAATGAAAAGTTCTAGTCCCTTCAAAGGGCTGCTAAATGAGCTTTCTAAAAAAGGATTCAAAGGAGATTAGAAATTCAGTTTTGTGACGGGTCTCTCTCGGCTGCTGTCCGTCATCTGGTTGGTAATGCGCTTGCGATTCCGCTTCAGTTTAGAGAGGTCTTTGTCAAACACTTCTCCTGAGCGTAAAGCTGAAACCAGGTCATCAAACTCCCCACCTTCTTCACTGTTCTCTTTTGCTTTTCTCATTTTACGTTCCCTTTCACGCTGTTCTTTAAGCTGCAAATAAAAAGCAACATTTTGAGGGAAGTCTCAAATGTTTTATTTCAATAGGGATGAATTCTGTGTATTGTAGCCATACTTGCTTTGGTCACAACAAGCCAAGTCCATCACTAGCTGCTCACCCCCATGAGTCACAAGTGAAGGTACCAGAACATGAGGGCTCATTGTAGAAGCAATGGACAACAAAGAAAAATCACCACTGCTTTGTGACTGGACACTCATTGATTAGTTAAGCAGTAAACCACTAGTTAAAAGAGTGATCAAGATCATTGGCATTTCTATTATGCAACAAGAAAGTTCTCACTATTAAATAAACCCCAAATGTTGGTTTCTTTTATGGTAGAGAAAGATTTTAGTGTTTGTGCTGTGGAAAAAAACAAAATGGTAAAAAAAGATTAAATGGTCATGAGACCATTCTCCTTAAATCAAAGGTTTACACTTGTACCTTCTGTGGATGCCTGGAACTTTCCACAGAGAAGTTACTATTAACAGCCAAATAACATGCATATATTATAGAAAATTTAGGTAATTCAGATGAGCAAAGGGGAGGGATTATCATCCTACTTCTATTGCCAAGAGATAACCATAGTGAAACTCTGAAGGGGTATATCCCACCACTATTAACTTTTATATTAATATTTATTTTACAAAAAAAAAAGATTTCATGTAGAAATTGTTTTGTAAACTTCTTGCAACATTAAATACTCCTTGAAGATGTGACTTCTAAGGACTCAATGGCTATTACATCATTTAGTACTGTGCCGTGTTGATAAACATTGAGGCTGTCTCCAAGTTGGGGGTTTATTATACAGACCTCTGTTCTCATTTATGAATGTCTTTAGAATAATTTCTAAAGAAATGGAATTCCAGATCAAAGGATGTGAAGATTATTTTTTAGACTTTGGATAGAGACTGCCAAATTGCCCAAAAAAAAAGAAAACTCCCAGAGGCATTTTCGCGAATACTTCGGTGTCCTTCTTGCCAGCAGATCAGTTTCAAAACCAAGTGGCTGCAGCCAACATCTTCAGCAGGCGGAGCTTGCTGATTATTCATCCTCTTACCTGAGCTTCCATGCGAGCCCGGCGCTCTTCCTCCTCCTTCCTCTTTCTCATGTTTTCATTCTCTTGTTTGGCTTCTGATACAGCTTGAAGAAACTGATCAAAAATGCCAAAGAACTCATCTGGCTGTATTTTACCAGCCTCCTCCCCAAAGTGTTTCACTGCTTTAGTGAACTGGAAAAAAGGTTTTAAGAAGTTCAGTTCAGTTTCATGATCAAATAATCTCTTTAGAAGGACTAAAGTACAACCTGAATCGAGTGTAACTTCCTTGGTGTTCTGTGTGCTTGTGTTTATGTTTCACACTGTTTCTCCATGTCTCCACTGTTTCTAAAGTCAAACGTTGAACACTCCTTACCTTTTGAAACCATTTCTTCTTCTCCACTTCGTTTCAGTACAACATCTATGATTACTTCCTGTGACTTTTTTTTTTTTTTTACTAACTAAACAGTAGTAAAAAACAAGAAAGCCAAAAATTGTAGGGCAGAACACTCAAGACATAAAACTAATAGCAAACTCAGCAGGGCCAGGGAAACTTGTACTTTCAACTTTTCTTTGAAGTAGTTTAGTATCATTTACTGGTGCCATATGGTTAATATCAAAAAGCAAATGGGATCCATTGCTTCTGAGCTGTTTTTCCTAATTATAAACAATGCTCAGCATTGTTAGGAATCAGAAAACACTAATTATAAAATCATGAATGTAACCCAAATTCATAAATGACAGTATAATTTTACTCTAAATCCTTCATTTTAGAACTTTCAATGTGAATCTCTTAAAATTGCTAAAATACTAAGTATTGAGAACATTTAAAAAAAATCAAAATTTATTTGATTTACATATGATTACTACACATAATAACAATATTATTTCTAGTCTTTCAATTTTTCATTTCTTCTGGTGGTCATCTTTACAATTTAAGATTATATTCTTTCAGGGGTCTTAGCACTATTCGGACTGTTAAATAATGTTTAATGACAAGAAAATCATTTGTTAAGGTATTTTTTTAAATAAAGATCTAATGGTGTTACTCTAAGTTACTAAGGATGGTGTTATTAGCTTCAGAGTCAAATGATTTCTTATTCCTATGCCTGATTAACTAGTTAAATTTTCCAGCTCTTTAATTTTTTTTTTATTTACTATATGAAGTATTTATACAGTACCCATCCTAATTAAAACACTTTCTAAGGGTTTTGGTTTTTCTTGTGTTACTTGCTTTTACTATATTTTTAAGATTTTCTGTTATTTCAGTAATACTAGTCTACCTGAAGGAAATACTTTCAATACTTATTCTGAAATAAAATATTCGATTTAAATTACATGTGTGTATAGACAAGTATAAAATATATATGGCATTTTCTAATTACTATTTCCTATCCTTAAGTTTGTAATAAAAATGTTCTTTCATCATCTTTCCCTTCACTGATGAGTCATTCTGAATGTTTTACTTATTTGGACATATTCTATCAGGAACCAGAGCTCTGTAGGGAGAAGCACAACATTCTTCACACACTACACACTGCGCACTTGCTTGCCGAGTGGTTTCATCAGCTAATTCCTAAAAGTTCTGGTATGAACAACAGAGACATAGACAGTTCTCAACTGTGTTTCAAAAACATTAAAGTTCATGCACTTCAAGCCATTCTGAATGATCTTTTTATCTAGGAATTCTAGTGATGATGAAGTCATGTATATTTTAGTCTTAGAAATCTGAAGAGAACTAATCTCAGACTGAAGTTCCCACACTAAAAAAAAAAAAAAAAAGAAATTTAAGGTTTTGTGTACATGTGTACATGTGTATGTGTTAACACCAAAAATTAACTATCCAAAACTATTGATTCTTATGAAACACTTGAGCCCTTGATAAAGTAGGTACCATGCCTGGCTGTAGATACCCCAAGAGTGAGGTGTATATAGGACATGACGGGCTTCCCCAGTGGAGGCTGCAACATCAGCTGACTGATTTCAATCATGTGCTCTCAGAGGCTGGGCTCTAAAGCAGTCATTTGAACTTATACTATCTTTCCCATTTATTTAATAGTATTAGAGATGGGGTTTAATGTTGAGATTAGCCAATGTATCTAACTTAATACAGCCTACTTCTGAACTTGAACCAGTTACGTGAACACTTACATAACAACCATCTCTCTCTATATATAACTGCACAGGTGCCCACAAATCCATTAATAAAGCTTTGAAGGAAAGATTCAAGTTAAAGAGTGCTGTGCCAATTGAGAGGTGGCCACTATGAAAGAACTCAATAGGGTGGAGAGTAAACAATGAAGAAAATGTGTGCATGTACATGTATATAAATGTGTATGTGTATGGAAGAATAAATAACAAGACAGACAGGGGAGGGAATATTTAAAGGTCCTTTTCTTTAAAGGAAAACAATTTTGAAGTGGTAAAAATTATTAAAAAAAAAAGAAATGTCACATTCAAAAGCTATGTCTTCTGCAACGAGGCTGTGAATTAAGTGTCCAATTGAGTAAGTTCTCCCAGAGACTTTAAGAGGGAGTACCTATTGTCCTAAGCCTGTCTCAGGCAAACACAATTACTTATAGGTCCTGAGGCACACGTGGTGGTGGCACCAGACCTCACATATCATCCTGCCTCTACATTTCATAATCTACTCTTCTGACTTTCAGAGGTATCAATTGAAATGAAACTATTAAAATGTTTGCTGGTTTTACAACACTCGATTCTTCAAGGCAACAAAGACCAGCTAGACCAAATGGGTGTGTTTCAACTGATCACAGTGCTACAAATGAAAACATACTTAGGAGTATAATTTCTGCAAGTACCAGCCCTGCCCAACAACACTCTGCAAGGGGAATTTTACCAGGTCTTTAGCTTCTGCTAGAAGATCTTCAACATCAGAGAAGCTGAAGCTGGCTACTGTGATGAACTGGCTGACAACGGACACAAACTTATCTCCGGCCTGTGGGGGCTGAGTCTTCTGATATTCCAGCTCCTTAAACACAGGAAATGGGTAATGTCAACACAGGCTCCAAATGCAGACATACCTCGTCTCATTTTGCAAATGCCTCAAATTTAATAAATCAGATGGCAAACATGTCAAAACCTGCTCTTAAAGAATTTGCGATATTCCAGCTCCCCTGCTTTCTGCCCACCATGCCTGCATGTGCACACACCTCAGTTTAACCAAGAATCACAGCACCATCTCAATGATTTCTTATGCTGATTTTAGAAAGCAGGTTAGAATGTGGATACAATTAATAGAAGGTAAAGACATAATGGGGAGCAAACTGGATTCAAAGGGTGTGTGACTGAAAGCAAGACAAGTTACTGATATTCTAGGCTCAGAATTCTGGTCCCTTGGTTTTCCCACCTTTTCTTCTCTGTCCATTCCACTTCTTCTACTGAGGTATCTGTGTCAGTTGAATTTCTATTGTAGCATCTGACACCATAACTATCCCCTGTTTTTCTTCTTGTCTATACTATTTGGTTTTTGTGAACAGGCATGTAGGAAGCATCAGTTTCTTGTTAATTATCCAGAACCCCTTACATTAATCACTGTGATACACAGGTGACACAAATGTAATTTCAATCATTTCCAGATGTGTTTTCCTATTTTATCTCACAACACTTTGTGCAGATACAGTTGTGCAGACCTATGAATTGAGGGTCAGTGGAGATCAAAAAAATCTTTGCTCAAATTTAATAGCTGATAAGGGAAAAAGCCAGAACTTGAACCCAGGTCTGCTTGTCTGGCATCTCAGGAACAACTATGTTGTGTGCCAACTGACTTAAAATCTGGATCTATTTCCCTTTGCACCTGAGTTATCAGAGGTCCTAACAAGCAGGTGTGCAGGTCATGGCTGCTGAGACCTGATTCAGCTCCACCACAGATTTGGCCCTCACCCAAGTGGCCTGGGCCTCAGTCTCTTCACTTGTAAAATAAGGACAATATTCATATAACCATGAGAATCAAGTGAAAAATCAAAATTAGATTTTTCATAAATCGTGAAGCTTGCTGTGATTGCAAGAAATTGCAGGGATTATAGTACTTTGGACTGGAGTGTGTGTCTGTGTGGTGGTTGGGAGGTGTTGAAAACTGTCTGTGAGGGGTGGGGGTGGGAGGGAGCTATAAAACAATTTTAAAGTACATCAATAATGTTTAGTTTCAGAGGGATACCATCTTTGATACCTTCAAACAGTTATCATCAATTTGTATCAAACACAGCAGGAGACATAAACCCTGGGACAGGCCAAGGTCAGCCTCCCATTATTTTCTTCCAATGCTACATTTTGAGATTTCAGCTGTCAGAGGGAGGGGGAAGAGGCTTTCCTAGACCTTTTCTATGAAGGGTGTGCTGCAGTGTAGGAGATTCAAGGGCTGGGGAGATTTTAGCAAAACTGCCTGTGATAAACCCACAGCTCGAAACTTCCCTGGCACCCGTCCTGCCCTCCGTGCCATGCCTTGCTCTGAAACTAGCTCAGATGCAAGGGTCAGTGTGTCCATTATCAGGCCTTAGAGTTGTCATGACTGCCAAGCTGGTCTCCAGAAAGAAAACCTTCCACAGGGTAGAATGGCAAGAGAGTGAAGCTCACAAAACAAGCTTTGTCCCAAACTCCCCTGGTCCAGTTTGGCCTCTGAAAGCCAGGGGAGATGACCCCATGTGCTCCAAGGCTAGGAGAAACAGGGTTCATACAACTAGTTTATTTCCTGTTCTTAAAAAAAAAAACACTCCTCCCCCTGCCAAAAAAAACCCAAAAACAAACAAAAAAACCTTATGTGCTCCTAATAATTTATTAAAAACTAAAAAGATTAGACAATGGCCCCTTTCATTTTTATAAGCAGTGCATCTTTAATGGAACTAACAATTTTCTATGGTAGTTTTGCAACTAAAAAAGGAAGGTACTCATAATATTACTGATAACTTCAAAGATACTTAAGGGAGGGGCATCTCCCTAAGAGGAGACTGAATCAGCCTCCTTTCCACGTGCCAAACCAGCGCCTCTTTTGGGAGAGGTTTCTCAGCCCCCAGCCTGCTCCTCACAGAAGGGAGCATCTATATGGTTGCCATGTGGTGCTGCACTCACATGGTCCTGTTGCTGCCACCTATCCAGGGTTGACCTGCAGTCTTTGCATACAGTCCTGGACCCACTTCCCTCCTGCGTACCCAGGTTCATCCCATCATTCTTTTGAGCCATACTCAAAATTTGTTTTTACAAAAGAAAAGTTTTCTCCAATGCTTATTACTTGTCCCCACAATCTTGACTTAACCTAAACCCATCCTCTCCTCACAGTATCCTGGTCTTCACTGTGCTCACCTGGTCATGCTGGATAGAGCCGATGTGGCTGCTTGCTGGAGTGTTCTTGGCCACCACAATAGCTCAGGGCAAGATTCTGAATCCTGTGGCTCCGTGCCTGGAGAACTGACTGTACACCCCAGTGTCTGCTCCCATAAATACTCTCCCAAAGTACTGATTTGAAACATTAAGGTATGCTCCTCTACTGGGAGTAGATGTTTATTAGTAAGATGAGAACACTGAGAGGGTCCATCAGGATTATCCTAGCCCAAAATCAAGTCCCATCTCTCAGGAAGGAAACTAGAAGTCTGGATCAGCTGTCCAGCTCCCTGTTCCAGCCGGTCGCCCCATGGCACCCTGCTGCTGGCACTCCAGTTGCCAGGCTGAACACAGCTGCCGTATTACTACCCTTCTTGTTTTCTAATGAATAAATGCTTATCCCACATGCCAGGACAACCACTCTTGTGGGGAATCACAGGCACTCGAGCCAGTGACGAGACCAGGTGTCAGAAGAAGCCGCGAGTACTCACCATCTCCACAGCTTTCAGGCCACTTCTCAAAGTACTCATTTCTTTGTCCAGCTCAGTCATGCTGTTGTAAGAGCAACATTTTAGTGACCAACATGGGACTTAACATGTTGTAAGTATATAATGGGTTTAAAATTTCAGCCTTGGTAGACCGCACTAGTTATTTTAAATTTTTAAAGTTCCCTCAGTGTTCAGATCTCTCAAGAAGACAACATTTCAAACCTATAGAATTTAGTTATGGAATTACGTGTTTTGTTTTCCACAGCCAGCAGCTATGTTCCATTAGTTAAAAATAGAACTATCTCTCATCTTCTCAAAAAAATTTATGTTTCAATCTCACAAAAATATTACTGGAGCAAATTAGTAAATACAGCCATGCTTTTCTTTCCATATGCTGCTCCCTTTGAACTCATGAAAGAAATGGCTTTTCCACAAACATGTTCACTGTGTGCACTTCAAAACTGATGACTGCTATTCACTATGGCTCTGGTAGTAAGAATATTACAAGGTGATGGCTTACATTTCCATTAATAATGGTTTTTCTTAAAGTTGTTAGTGCAACTTTTGGGTTAACTGCCTTCTTTTTTTTTGTAATGGAGGGTTTCTGGACTTCTCCTATAATAATTTCTATTTGACAGCTCTTAAATATTAGCAATTACAACTTAATCCTCCCAGATAATTCACACAGAAACAAATTCACCAACATATCATTTACATGACATTTACATTCTGTGTCTCATACAGTACATTTCTACCAAATTCTACCACAGGGAAGGAATTAGCTTGGTCATCATATTTTTCAAATTCACTGTAAAAATATGCTGTTTAAATATGTTTTGTAATGGAGGAGAGGGTGCAGAAGGGAGGAGGGAAAAACAGCCAGGAAAACTGCCTGCTTCTCAGTCTCTAAAAAGTGGTGTGAAGTTTGTGGTGAAAGTTTGGCAACCTGCCACTTTATTTTTAGTTTCCTATTTGCATAAAGACTGCTTTCCATTAAAAGGTTGCCTGGGTTTCTGGGAGTACGTGCACATGGGAGAGTGACTAGCAACGCCCTTGGTCTAGGTCTTCTATTCGCCTAGCCACGTACCCTCATTTAACTAAGGCTGTTCTGACCTGTATTTTAATAGAACTGCCTTTTAAAAGCCCTCGTGAAACCACATTCCTTTCCTATACGCTTAATAACTCAGAAAATTAGGTTTTATGGAAGTTAAATACTGTATGCAGGGGTATTTCAAGGGAGCTAGAACAAATACATATTCAAAACTGTGGAAGACATTTCAGTTATTTGGATATGACTCAACTGTTACTTCATACACTATTCAGGGGAAAACAGAAGGGCCCTCTTCATGCAATGCTGACTGTCTTAATGGCTAAAGCTTACTCCTAGTGATATTAAAAAGTGGAAGCAATTCACCATAAGTACTTACTTTACTTTTGCTGCTTGAGGAATGTCCTGCAATTCTTCATGTAGACTGAGAACCTTGGGGTATTTACTTTCCACAATAGTTATGAGATAGTGCAAAAGTGTGATGTTCCTACAACAAAGGAAAAGAGTATTAATCATGGTTCATTCCTGTATATGATCCGTACATATAAGTAGTTGAACTCTTAATAATATCTGACTGTATTCATTCCAGAACTTAGAGATTCCTGTAAGGCAGGGATTCTCAAGAGATGGGGATAAAAGGGATAGCCTACATGAGGTTTATATAAATATATGTCAGAAGGAAGCATATGTCTTCTAATAAAAGGAAGGGCAAAGGATAAGAATTCTCTGGCCCATAAGGAGCACCCTTCAAAGTCTAGGTAATGTGATGGGCAATGGAAGGGAACCTGCACTGATGCCATGGGGGACACACCTTCCCCTGCCTCCACCAGGAGATGAGGTGTGCCTGTAATACCTACCAGGAAGGGTGGGTGGGGCAGGGAGTGAGAGCTTCTGGATCCACTAATGAGGGTAGCTACTTTTAAGTTTAAAATTTCAGCACAGCAACTCACTGCTGACAATTATAGACAATTCTCATTTAAGGTTTCTTCCAACTCTATAATAGCTTTTTCTCTTCCATCTGACCATGTTCTGCTGTTGCAGTGAAGAGTAGTCAGATAGATAGAATGGCCCCTAAGTCATGGCCAGGCCTGGAACTGAGCTAGGCCTGCACCTTGAATTCCTTGAAGCTGAGAAGCCACTTGCTAATTATAGCAACACTTCAGCTCCTAATGACAAAAACTGAGCTCCCTCATGAGTGGTGACAGGGCTGAACCCCAAATGACCCGCCTTGAGAAGAGAGGCGCTGATAACACTCTCTCCTGGGCGGAGCAGTGGCAGTCTCTGGCTCCCTCACATCGCGGTCACCCGGACTCCAGACACATGGGCCAACTTCAGACTCATGTGGTTTCAGTGAAATGGGGCATGAGTATTTTTAAAATTCTAACATACAGCAAGAACCAAGAACCACTGGAAATATGAAGAGGCTACCAATGTGCTTCTCTAAAATTATAATTCACAACACTAGCACATACTAGTCCCACCCATCTTCGGTTATAGTAAAACAGTGTGAAAGTTGTCAAGCAACTTTCTTTTTCACAGCAATGGAACCATTTCTAGTTACCCTTATAGCTCCACTGAAGTCAACATAACCCTATTCCTCCAAGTCAACTAGCCTCATTTTAAAAATATTTTCCTTTACCTTGCTCTGAATTATTAGAAAACATTTGCCCAGGTAAATAAAACAGTGGCCAATTATTGTAAGCAACCTTTTGTGTTTGTTCACCTGCATCATCCCCTTCAGTTTGGGCATTTCCACCCACATGTCTGCTGCCTGCGGAGCATCATGGGGGAGTGGAACCCCAGCGAGCACCACAAGAAAAACCAATGCCAGTTTTTCTTCATTGTTTCACCAAAATTTTAATTTCCTCTATAAATATGAGTATAGAAAGATGTAAAATTAGCACAGAGCTTCTCCTTTGTTTGCTGTCCAAATCACACCTCATTTTCATGAGTAAAAATTCCTGAAGGAAGAAAAACAACAAAATAGCCACACTTTTGATTGTTCCCTGGCTGTGACAAGAAACAAGCCTTCCATAGGGAGTGAATGCTTGCTTTGTGCCATCCAACTTTTGTAGTTTGATTAGATTCTACAGAAGATTTAATGGGTGATCGCTTATAACTAGGCACTATGGTTTATAAGACACAGGTGCTACTTTTGGAAACCAAATATTTATAGGCAGAAAGAAGAGAAAAAAGAGATCAGAAATATTTTAAATTTACTCTTTTGAAAAGACTTGTACATTAGGTAAATTCCATAGTAACTTCAGATAAGCAGATTATCACATAGTATATATGAGGTTGTATGTGTGTGTGTGAGAGAGAGAATAGAATGGAATTGACTGAGGGTTTCTTTCCTTTCCAAGCTACAAGCCCAGTTAAAGTGAAAACCTTCCTTTAAAAAGGTGACCACTCAAATCAGACATTCCTTGAAGGGGGAAAAAAAAAGGTGACTACTCACATAATGATGTAAAAATAAACTATTATAAAAAATGATATATATGTATATCAGATTAAAAGAAAAAAAAAAGGCGACCACTACTCCCCTTAGCAGTATTATTTCAGGGACTCTTGCTCCCCACTCTGTCTCTGGTAAATCCTCTCATAACCCTCCTCACCCTCCCCCCCCCCCCCCAGCCAGTGTCCCACCCCATACCTCTGGCCTATATCCCAGTTCTTCTACACAAAAATAAATTAAAAAAAAAAAAAGAATATTAACAAACGAAAAAAAGCGACTGCTAACTATAGATCTGAGGCATACAGCAGGGGAAGAGGAGCGAAGAGCCATGATTCATGGGTGATGCAGTGATAGGAAATTTGCGGGAACTACATCTAAGGGGAGAAATCAAATATTAACAAAAATGAAACATGATATAAAAAAATAAAAGTTTAAAAGAATTTCACACACATATACACACAAAGGTACTTGCTATTTATATGCAAATAAACCCACTACATCCTCCAAATAAGGTCCACCTTGGTGGAGCATAGCTGTGGATAAAATCCATAGAATAGGCGTTAAGTACCTAGGCCAAATACCTTGCTTATTGTGACCTTGGGAAAGCTCACTGAGTCACTTGGCCCTGCCTGGGTTTCTTTATCTGACAACAGGTGGTACAGCCTGTGGTCTGTGAGTTTCACAAGCTGTTGTGACAGTGAAATGTTAAAGTGCTCTGAAAAGGGACAAGTGCTTACAATAAAAATAAGGTGGCAGTGACATAACATAGTAGCTGCCCTTCATTAATCTGTTTCTACACAATGCACATAATAAGTCTCAGCCCTAGAATTTAACACATTGCCCATTTGTTACCGGATGGACTCAGGCTTGCCACAAGGCTATATACTTCACTAACTCTGGAAAATATAAAATTGAAAAGCCTCACTAGTTAGGATAATTAGAGCAGACAGCCCATATTTCTAAAAAGAATTTGGGCACAGGGAAGCTGACCTTAGAAATAATTGTGCAAGTTCCTTTGAAGTGAGTGAGAATCTTAGAAAACACAGCTCTCAGGGAAACAGAGCTAATATGGCTAATGACCCTACCTGTTAATGGAACCAGCACACTTTCACACCTCAGTGTCTCAGACAGGAATCTGTTCGCTTAAAATACAGTGCTGCACACTTTCTTGGAGGCATTTAATGAGTCTCAGGATGAGCAGTTAAATTCCCAAGAACCAAAATGCATTTATACATCTTAATTTTCTCATATAGCTGCTACTACCAATGTATGCAGCAAACCCTGGCAAGCTTTTGCAGCTGTCAGTTTTTTTCTTTTCCCTGATGGCAATTCTCTGTGGAAAGGTCCTGGCAGGGAGGGTTGTGATGCGACTTCTAGCAAGCTGGCTATCCAAGTGTGGTCAACTTGTGAACATTCACGGGACACTTCCAATTAGTAGCTTGTCCTTAGTGTAAGACACTCTAATGACATATTTCCCTAAAACAAAATCCCCATGGACTGCAATGGATGGATAGTGGCCCAAGGTGAAATTGGCAGAATCAAGGTTGTGAGGTAAGAGGCCTCAGTGCCAGAGAAGGAAAGGGGACGGAGGGAGGCAATGGAGAACCAGAGACTGCAGCATCACGAGGCCCCGGCAGCTGGGGTATGGTAAGCCCTGAGAGAAGCACTGGGATCCTCCACTGCCAGAAGAGCCCAGACTTACTTGTCAATACTGGACTTTGTGTCAGCAATCTTGTTGAGGCTGGATATCTTGAATCCATAAGCATTGCCTCTTTGGCCTTTGTTCATGTAATTTCCAAATGCCAAAACCACTTCCAGCAACTGCTTCAGGGCACCGCTCTTAAAAACCTCTTCAGAGCCTGCACGAATTGCTTCAAAACAAACAGATAAGAACACAACAATTACAACCAAGATTCTTGGTTGATACCCATCCTAAACCTATCCTGACACAGCAGATACTGAAGACACAAGATTGGGTGTTAGATTGAGGGGAGCAACTTTGAAAAACCTAAACTAGAAGCAAAAAGCAAGAGGGCAGGGAGAACCAGCTGAAGCTGTTCAAGAGACCGCTGCTCAGCCCTGTCTGCTGCAGCCTATTCCGGGCTGAGTCATGAACCACAGGCAAGGAGGACACACTGCACAGCAGCTGCAGTTCCCACATTCCTTTGTTAATTTTCTTGTCTAGGGTGACAAGTTGACAGGATGACCAAACACTTCTATCAACAGAAAAACTGGTCACAGCTTGCAGGTAACACCAGGGTCAGAACTTCAGCTGAGTCCCCTGTTCAGCCTGCATTCTATGGCTGTGACTCTTGAATGGCCTTGTTCACATTTCAAATACCACAAAATGAAAAGCTTCACAATATGCTATATGAGTAATATTTTAAAATTAAAGCATGTAAATAGACAATAAAGTTTACATAGCTTTCCTTAAAATCTAGTAAGGCCCTGTTACAAGAAAGTTAACCACACGGGGCTACTGCTAATAGGGGTGAAGTAAATTCCTCACCAACACCAATATCCAGGCTGTCAAAAGCTCCTATAGCAGAGCTCAGGAGATATGCTATTGAACTCAAGAGCTCAGGCAAGTAAGTCAGATATGGATCTTAAATCATTGTCCATCAGAACTCTGAAAGCTTTTAAGTTAAAAAAGCAAAAACACCAAAGGGACCCTGTTCACTATATGCACTTGGATGGTTACTTGAAAATGATTAACACTTAAAACAAACATCATTTCCAATACAAGGCACTTTCCTTTACCTTCTACTTTAGGCTTCACTTCTGCCACACGCTCTGCAAACTTCTTTTTGAAGTACAGTGATTGTAGTCTTTGCTGATAATGATTAATTCTGTAAGAGCAAGCATGGAGTAATGAATATTAACCTAACTTGTCTGCATTCACTAATAGTATGGTGGTAACTTGAAGTACACACACACACACACACACACACACACACACACACACACACACACACACACACATCCTGTCCTAGACAGGAGTACAGAGCATGCCGCCAACTTTGTCTGGGAATCCCATTTCCCTCTGACCCACAAGAGGTACTTGGGCCTCTGTGGGCAGGATCCTTAGCTCCAATCAGATAAGGCAATTGTTACAAGAAACAAGAGTTGGCCCTTGTTACCTAAAGCCCTTTCCCCTTTTTGGAAGACCCATTGGTTCTTGTGAATATAAAAGAGAGATAAAGTAACAGCACTGTAAAGACTCCCTCTTGTGCTATAGCTACAGGTCTGTCTCTTACATCTCGCCCATGCTTCTGAACCTTCTACAAAGTTTACTTTTGGCAGTAGAGGAGAGTTAAACTACTTCTCTAGCTTTCACTCCTCACATCAATTTTTCCTCATATCACCCTCTACTCACTCATCCTAAAAACTTCCTCCTTACTTCCCTTTCTTTCTTGTATTTATTTAATTTTGGAGTTACATTTTGCTCCTCCATATGTGTACACGTTCCATTCACCCGCTACCAAAATGTCTGTGCCAATACCCCATCTGGCTGCCTCCCCAATTCCCTATGATAACCATTAAATTCTTTCAGTAAGTTCAAATTTTATTCCTATTGTATTTTTCCTGTTTTTTTTTGTGATACCATCCAATATCTTTTACTTTCTCACTTTATCCCCAAAATACTTTCATTTTTGACAGCTATGTAATATTCCATCAAATCCCTGAGGTAGGTCTCTTTATATTCTTAGCAGGACTGGCAAGCTCTGGCTTCCAAGGGAGCAACTAGTACTATACATAATAAGGATACACACTGGCCTCTGACCAACACTAAGCAGTTCTGTGTTGCTGAGGGGGAGGAGGGCACTTTGCCTAGGTCTTCTGAATTCACTGCTAACAACTTGACTGCTGGTAAAGACTTCAGTCCATTAGAACAGCAATCTGCCCCTCCTCCAAATCTATACCATATAATCAGACAGACCTGACTATGCATCCCAGATTCTCCTATTAGGTGACCTTGAACTTCTCCACATCTTTTTTCCTATTAGTTGTTGCCAGAAGCCTTCCTGGCAGGGCTGATCAGTTTAAGTATGATGATGCAAGCAAAGATCCAGATAATTATGAAGTGGCAGCTATTGTAGGTGAACATCTGTTGTTTGCTTGCAGCCCAGCTGTGTATACTTCTAAAAATTTCAAACCCATCTCTTGTTTTACATAGTAGTATACAAAATGTTGAGATGAAACACCAATGACAAAAGTTTGGTCATGACATAAATAATAGTATGAGAGGAAAGTTCTCCTCAGATACATTTGTAGGCCTTTGCCCTCTCAGGAGAAAAGCTCTGTGCCCTGGGGCTGACTAAAGTTTTCAGGACCACTGGTTCTTCTCTAATGTAGAATCTCAATGTGCTAGGTCTGTGGTGGCAAACATATTCAGCTCACATGCCAAACTCAGTTACAGAGCAGTGACTACCTCAGGGCTTTCTATAGAAAGGGTCGAGAGATCTTGCCAAGCACTGTGGAAGAGTGCCATGATTGATTAGTGATGTCTGCATGTGTCGCGATTTAATACCCAGATCCTGGCTGCTCAGCTGTATGGGCTTCAAGCTGACAATAACAAGCCTGTCCTTCCTCCCCTCCCTACCCCATTTTTATAACAACCTTGCGATATTGAGGTACGTTGAGGAGCAAGATACCATCCCAAGAAATCAAAGTTGTGGAGAGAAAGACACGGACTGGAAACTGGGAAAGTATGGCTTGATTAGATAAAAGCACTTCAGCCAAGGAGACCCAGAAACAGATAATTGTGAAGAAACCCTGAGCCACAGGCAACAATGCAAACAATATTACATTCCAGACAAATCAGACTTAAGAACACTTTGGAACTCAAAACAACTCCAAGTTAAGCCAAATTAATTGGTCCAAACAATTTGGTGTAAATTAAAAGTTTAACTTTCTTAGGGGCATCTTTATTTTTTAACATTTTCAAACTCACCGACTCATCTCAAAAAGAAATCTATCAGCCTTGGCCATTCGATCCAGTTCATGTTTATGTTCCTCCAACAGGTCAATGTCACTTTTTTCAGGAACAAATTTCAAGAGCTAAAAAGGACATGTAAATATTAAAACCAAGGTTTACAAATTAAATCCCTTCAGTGATTTCCCACACTTTTAGCTGATTTGTTCAAAAATGAAATTTTAATATTTGTTGTATTTCCAAACTCTGCCCTCAAGTGATCATGAAGATACAACTGAAAAAAATTGACCCTCCCTGGTGCAACAGCATGTTAAAGCACAGCACTGCAAGCTGGCTGCTGCTACTTTGGTGCAAATTCAATCCCTGCTCCAGAGGTGACCCACATGGTGTGGCAGACCTCTCCTGTTTTGCCCGCTGCTCCCCTCACCAGTATACTTTATCAATCTGCTGGTTCTGCTCCCCACTCTGACTATAGTATATGTTCTCACCAACCCTGCACCTCTGGCTTTTACCCCAGTTCTGTATGCATAAGTAATAAATTAAAAAAAAAAGATACAACTGAAATAAATAAATCTTAATGCATTTGCTTAAAAGTAGTTAAGTCAGTATTAGATTTCATTCTTGGCACCTTTCTTGCCTCTCAAGTCAGAATGATGAAGCTCTTTATAAGGACCCATTTTGCATAGACCTTTAGATGGACCTTAGAGACTCAACCCCCTCATTAGAAGATGATAGTCAAGGTCCAGAGAGATTACGCAGCTCACCCAGGCTCACAAAGTGAGGTCATGTAATCAGCAGAAATAGAACCTAGGTCTCTGGGCTCTCAGCTCTGGGCTTTTTTTCTATTACATCATGCTGAAATGACTAATTCTATGTGTATTTTCCATTCATTTTGCTTATTTCCTGGCTCATCTAATTGCATCTCATTTTTTATTCCATGTAGAGCTGGATGAGAGAAACATAGTGGGATTTGAAGTTTCTGATTCCACATTTTGGAAGAAGAAATGAGCATGGAATGTGAAAAAAAAATAGCAAATACTTAATATTTTGAAAGAGTACTTTGTATGTGTCCAATTTCCTCTAAAAATATGAGCATGTATGTATGTGTCAAAGCACAGGAACGCAGGTGAGAGAGGACAGTGATGAGGGTAGGATGGGGCAGTGGACAGCCCCTAGGGCTACTCAAGGTTGTTGATAGAACTGGATTGACAGCTGAGGGTAAAAAAGGATGAGGTGTGGGCTTACACCACAACATAGACATAGAGTAACAGGGAATCCAGGAAGAAAAGGTTGGAGGAGGGTGTGATTTCTAGTAGGCAGGGCTAGGTGGGGAGTCCTGGGGAGATGTTAGTAATACAAAGCACTTGTGTTGGTAACAGGTAGGGTATTGAATGCACAGATATGAGTGGGGGTAACCAGTGGAATCATCAGAAAAAACAGAACTAGAGATAAGTTGGCATTTATGAGAAGTGGACCAGAAGCAGAGTAAGTGGGCGGGGGGTGGTATCACAAAGGGGAAGGTGGGGGGGGTGGTATCACAAAGGAGAAGCCATTTCATCACAGAGCCAGTGGCCATCAGTATCGCATACCAGAAAGACATCAAAGAAGACTAATGACTAGGAGGCACTCCCTAGCTTTGGCAACAAGGAAGATGAGGACTCTTAGTGAGAACAACTTTAGGGAGGCGAGGACATACTGAGGAGACTGAGGACGAGCAAACAGGAGGGGTGTGGACAAGCTTTCACAAGAACTTTGAGTCAAAAAGGGAGAAGACTGTAGGGGGATATGGGGTCTTAAGGGGTATGCATGGGAAAGTGAGAGAGAGACTGGGAGTCAAACAATCATGGTGTTGAGAGGGAAAGACTGAAAAACTAGATGGGGACTCTTCCAGTCCAGGTGGACTGAGCAGAAGGAAGGGATGGACCAGTGCAGCCTTTCCCCATTGGGAAGGAAGGGGAAGAAGGAGGTGCATGCCTGGGATCACCGGGCTGGCGGCCTGGTAGCTTCTAGGGATTTATGTTCCTGGGTTCAGATGGTGACACTGGACGTAACAGTTTCTATTTGTTCTTCCTCAGTGCTGGCATATAAGGTAACAGGGCAAGGAGAAGGGAAAAGGAGTAGAAAGGAAATGGCTTTTCACTCTCAGTTTGAAATTTATCTACAGGGCAAAGAAATTCAGTGTTTGTCTCAGGGATCGCTTCTCCCCAGCTAGCATGTGCACGTATGCACACAAACACATACCCAAGTTAGGGTGAGCAGATAGGCTCTGTTCAGGAGAACACAACCACCACCTCTCTTTCACTACTTAGAAGAGCACAGTATAAAGGACATGGTAAAGAGGCAGTCCTTTTCACAGAAGAGGGCAATAAAGATGGGTATGGATAAGAGAGGAATGAAGAGCCAAGACATCACTTGGGAAGAAGGGGAGGTGTGTGCTGATTGAACCTGAGGCCCAAGCTCAGCATCTGAAAGCAGGACAGGTGGGAGGGAATGTGGCTCAGTGGAAACCACAAGTAGGACAGGAGGCAAGAAGCCAGCTTCAAGTCTTGTCTGAAGAGTGCTGTGTGAGGCACAGGATGCACAGAACATGGTACAATAAAGAGGCAAAGAATGAGTGCAGGAGATGACCAGCACATGACACGCACTGAGCTATCAAGAAAGACCAGGTCAAAAGTATCTCACTTGGACAGATTCCGCTTCAGTAGACTGATTTTCTTTCTTGTTATTTATTTGAAGTACTTTCTGTTTGCACTGCAAGCATTTTTGGCACGATTTTGAAATCCTTTCCCTCAAGGAGGAATTTTGCTGGATGCGGTTTCACAGTAAACAGATCTTGTGGAATTTTAAACATACGACCTTTAATAGGGACTCTGGGCCTAAGGTCTGGAATAGCTTCATGCAAGGTTGGATGTGGGGTGGTAGAGAGCAGGGTCATCTGGGGCGGGGGGCAAGGGCATCCAGGCTCTGTTCTCTTGGGCTGAGAAGCTATAAAAGGTTCTAAAAAATGAACTTTGGGTTCAGAAATTACTTTCAAACTATCTATATACAGAGCCTCCTAACAGCTAGAAACTCAGTCATTAACTATTCTGATAACTACATAAACTTTACAAGGACAGCAGGACACACTTGTCCACTGCTAAGTGTGAGGGTCTTCACCTTGGATGACTGAAGCTGCAGAGGCTTCATAGAGGACAGATCCATTCTGAAATGGGGATGCCCCACACATCACCCTCCCTGCCTTGTGTCCGAGGCTGTGAGGGACATCAGTGAGAACCACAACAGAAAACGCACAACAAAGACTAATACCCCCACCTCCAACCCCGGAACAAGTTTGCCACACAGGCTCATTATAAGCCATCAAACATCCCTTCTCAGAATCATATTTTGAGTGATTTTAATCTAGAGATCCACTTATGATTCTGTTTCAAGGGTAATGAGACAAGCTGGCAGAAGAGCCTTAGCATTTTCAGGCCTTAGCACCACAAAATACAAGAAGGGCTTTGGCCCATACCAAGAGACAGGTGATAATCCCTGAGATATGTGATAGTTCAACAGCATTATCATTTGGGGAGGAAGTGAACAAGGCTGCTGAACGACAAGTAACAATGCTGGGGTTGCTAAATGGAGCACGCTTTAGAAATGACACACCCCGAGAAGCTATGTCACCACATTAGACTGCTGCCTGGCCATGTATAACACAAATGATCTCCAAATACCACAGACAAGGGTGCAATGACTGTGTGTAAACCCATCCAGTACTTTCTAGCCCCAGAATTTGAATCTATCACCACTTATGACACAAGAAGGGTGCCAAGAAATTTATATCCCCTTGTATAATGCACGTGACTCTTTAGACATAGATGACAGTGCCGAGGTTAGTCCTCAGGAGTGGGTCACGTGGCAGTGGGGCCAGCAAGCCAAGAACATGACACAAATTGTATCACAGATTAGCAATGAAGCAGTTTGTGTAGTACTGTCTGTGAGCTCACAGTGCTAATGAGAGTCTTGATATTCCTGTGAAGCAGAGACTGCCCACTAAGCTAGTAGACTTCTGAGACCTACTAAACATAGTAACTGTAGCAAAATTGGCATTGGGGGGTGGGCCGCAGGCATATGGCGGATTCATGACCTGCCTTTTCACCCGTCACTTTTATGAATGAGAGAATTAACTCAGAAGGCTTCCCTCCAGAGCCATATGGCACCTTGGTTAGTCTCCTCAACTCAGAGTGGAGGAAATGGTCCTCTCCTGGCAACGACTAGGATCTTCCCACACCCACCCCCTGCTGAAAAGCCAGTTGTCACTTGCGCTCTGAGACATGTCTGGCAGCTCACCTGTTCCAACATGTCCCTGGGCAGATCTTCCTGCTCATCCATTGTCAGAATGGCCCGTTTGATTTCATCATTGGATAATTTCAACCTGGAGAAAAAATATTTAATTTTGTTGTCAACAATACTGGCTTAAGTATTAAAATTTAATACAGGGTGATTCACTTTGCTACTCCAGCTGATAATTTTCCAGTACCATTTTTTCTCAAAATCTCTTAGTGAAAGCTTATTTCCTGATAATATTGCTCCTAAAAATAGTATTTTGAAACTGCTTTAACATTCTTTTGAGGCTTTGTAATGCTCTTCTGACACAGAGAACAAAGCTGTTATGTTCTAGGATTTAGTTTTATTAAATGAGGGATTGGAAGATGAGAAACAGGGAAAACACTCATAACTGACTGCTTTTCTTTCATAGATAATGTTCGTGAACTGCAGGTGAAAAACTAAATTCTTAACTTAGAGTTCAGGTTTGCTTAAAGTTTGCTGTCAGATTTAAGATGAATTTTGAGAAAATTTAGAGTCCATGTTACTGTTAACATACTGAACAGTTAATAAACAATATATAATGTATAGACACTTAACAATTGAGGAGCTTTTACGTATTTCAATTGAGCTTGAAAATAACTGCATTTTAAGAGAAGTGGAAACTGAGACACAGCATAGCTGAGTGTTTTGCCCAACATACAGAGAGCAGCACAACCAACAAAAAACCCAAGACTCATGACCACAAAGCTCAACTATTTTCTACAAATATAGCTATCTAGTTAGTATCCTATAAAGGAATTAAACAAAAAACATAAATTCAAATGATTTACATTTTAATCATATCAGAATAACAGTGTTGACTATAAAAAGTTATGAAATCAAAACATATGTATAAAAATGTTTTTATTGGACACAATCAAAAGTCTTAACTGGGGCAAAAAAAAAAAAACTTAATCAGATTATTACCTGTACAATAGAGTCATTCTCTTCTATTTATAAACATTAGACCCAGACTTCTTTTAAAAAATCTTACTTCCTGATAAGCCATCACAAGTATGACATATTAAACTCATTTGATCTGTTCTTCTAGTTTGTAATCTTCAAGAACAATCATATTTAGGACTAAAGATAAAGACATCAACACACAAATACAGAACAAAATATAATGATCCAATATGGGTTTTGGCATCAATAAACTGGGTCTCAGTCCTGATTTTGGTGTTTCCTGGCCAGTGTGACTTTAGAAAATAACTGTTCTTAAGCCTCAGTTTTCTCATCTATGACATGGGAATAATAACAAATAATTTTGCATGTGTGCGTGATACAGCGAAATAATGTATATATGGGATTGAACACAGTACACAGCTAAAGAAAGAGATTGGGCCTTCCTGGTGGCACAAGGGGTTAAGTCTCAGCACTATCAAGATTTTGGCAGCCACTGAAGTTCCATCCTTAGCCAGGGAGGTGACCTACATGGCACAGCAGACCTCTTGTTTTGCCCGCTGCTCCCCTTAGCAGTGTATTTCTGTCAATCCACTTGTTCTGCTCCCCACTTTGTCTCTGGTGAATCCTCTTGCCCTCCCACCCTCTACCTCTGGCCTACACCCCAACTAATATGCATGAATGAATAAAGTAAATCTTAAAAAAATAATAATAATAAAGTAAGAGCTCAATAAACCACATGGATGCTCTACATGGCAGCCTTTTCCACACTGGAAAAGCAGCAAGCAGTGGTCCCCATGTAACCATGATGTTCATGGCTGATATCTGATCTGAAAACAGCACCTAACAGGGTTAATATGGACACCCCCCAAACAACTTACAGCCATTACCTCATCAGCCAGAATCCTCTCTGTACACACACCTACATGTCTGGGAGAGTTACAAAAGAATGAGAAGGCACACTCTTATTTGAAAGGTGGTGTTGATGTTTGAAAGAATGAACAAGGTCATGGAAAGCACATGTGGCTTCACACTAGCCTTCACCTAGGCTCTCTCAAATAAAGGAGAGGGGGGATGAGAGACAGGACCCACAGAGCCTGGAAGGAGGAATGAATCAAGGATGGAGCTGGGGTGAGCCATGATCCACGAAGAACACCTCTGACTTGCCCTTCTGTCTAGATTTTGATCTTGTTAAAGCCATCTATCTTGGTTTTTGGTATAGTGGTATTTTGGCTGAATGTTGTTTCAGGTGCTGATAAGCAGAAAAAGGCAGGAACAAATTTAGGCAAACCACTGTACCAATCCCATTTTCATCCCTGTTCACACTGGATAGGGTCACTAGTCCTAATTCCCAAGCTGCTGAAAACAATGTTGGTCTGGAGCAGACTTCTCCAGATGGCAGATGGACAGTCAATGCCCCAGGAAAAGGCTCACCAGATATCATGGTGAACCAGTCCCCATCCCTCCCACCCCCACCCCAACAAATGGAACAATTTAACCTCTTTGGCATAGGACAGCACGGTGGGAAGACCCAGCCTCAGGGGCTCCACCAGGCAGGCTGGGCGGCCCTAGCTGAAGGACTTAATGGCTCTGAAGTCAACCAAGAATAGCCTGGTACAGCATAGAGAGGTTGAGGAGGAGGAACATGAAGGGAGGCTTTAACTACCACGATTGGAAACTAACAGGCTGTGGAAACCTCAACAGTCATCATGAGAAAAGCTCTGCTTGTAAGAAAAAAAAAAATAAATTAGCTCTGTGTCCTTCTCACACTGAGCTGATGAAACCACTTTATGGTGTAGTTCTGTTCAGTCCTTCTGTTTTGCATTTAAAAGAAAAGGAGTTGAAAATCAGAGTGAGAACAATACTTGAAGTATCAGATTTGCATTTCATTAGCTCCCCATATGGAGTGCAGAATGTCTTGCTTTTGAAATTGTATATATTTATGCTCCTCAATCCCCAGAGGCTGTCTGGTCCAAACATGAGCTCTAATTCATAACAATTTTGGTTTCTGTTAATGTGACCCACAAAGAGACTCGAGACTTTAATGGAGAGTACTTAAGAAAACCTACCTGTCAACATGCCGCCTTGCACGTGGCCTGTTGGAACAGACAAAGAAACTGTACCCCAGGGAAAGAGGAGAAGGGTACGCGGCCCTCCAGGATACTGCTATAGGTTGCAGAGTCCTTAGTATCATCTGTCATCCAGAGAATGAGTCAGTAATCTCTGTAATTTAAGGACCTTAACAATTCTAACCTTTTAATTGCTTTCAAAGCTTGGCTGTGCTCTGGTGTGCTGGAGGGTGGCAACTTTCAAGACTTCCACTTCAGTTTTCTTTACAAGGCAGGAAACAAGCTGGCCATTTAAAATAGCATTTAAGTCTACCTTGCTCTGCTTAAATATTTCAAAAATTTGCCAAGAGAATTGGAACATCCAGGCGTAATTAAAGTCAGTTAAGGATGGATGTCTAGATCAGCCTTAGCTCTGCTTCAGTGGATTTAAGCCAAATCCACCTACTTTAAAGTAGCTTTTTGTGGTTTACTAAACCCCAGCTGCCATGTTAAGCGAGCATCTGGAAAAAGAGAATGGCAGAACACTTCATAAAAGTATATTTTAGGGGGATTCATTCTGCAATATAAACCAGCTTCCAAGTTTCTTTCTTTCTTTTTTAGAAAGTAAGTTTTAAGGAATAAAGCAGAGTGCATTTTTAATTGCCCCATGTCCTCTACACACACATAGAAGGAAAGTTAGTGTTCATGCCGCCAAGGCTCTTGGGAATGGTTTCTCACTCTCAGGTACCTGTGTCCCTTCCACCCATTCCTCTCTCTCCTCAAAGCTGTGAAAGACAGGGTCCTGGATGGTCCGGAGCTTCTGCTCCAACCCGACACCTTTCAGGCAACCTCTTTCCAGGAGGTATGAGCGACCCTGGCCTACCCGCCCCACTTCTCGGCTCCTGGCTAGGAAAGGGTTTTCCTTCACATTGCCTGTTTGGCTTCACTTTTGCAATGTCGTGGATAAGGAACCAACTACCGCAGGTAGTCTCGTTCACAGGCTCACTACAAGACAGCTACTCTATTTACCTCTGCTGTGGAATGTGATGGGTCTGGCTTGCCCCTAAGCTGACTCGACACCTACGAAGGCACTACGCATGGATGGCAGCTCTCCTGTTGGGCTCATTCAATCCACGTGGTGATTGTCTGTGGCAGGGCTCTCTTGACCAGCTATGCTCATGTCTCCTGTGCCCCTGATTCTGCTGCATGCGTCCTTGGTATTGCCAACTATCTCCTATGCCCATGTGAAAAGGGGTCCTTTGAAAGCCACTTTCCTTGGTAAGTCTTGTTGGTGCCCTGTGCCTGGCTCCCTTTCCCTCCTGTTCAGACCAGTCAAAGCCCTGAACTGCCCAGCAGTCACCTGACCTGTGTCATTTTTCTTCTCCAATTAGCCAGAGCTCCTAAAGAAACCAGTGTATCTCAAGTCTGGTACATTCTACGCCTCCCACATGGTGCCAGGCAAGTAAATGCTAGCTGCCAAGTGGTAACTCTTGAAGAAAAAGTCACAACACACTTTCCCAGCTCTCTCTCCCTTTTCCTTCTCCACTTATGTGCAGTAATGTGTCACCAATGAGGGAGAAGGAAAGCAAACTGCTGCGACACTGCAAACCTAAATAAGGTAGAGATTAAAATTTAATCTGGGTAATTTCTTTTACCTTTACCACAACACATGCAGTTCTTTTCTGACAAGAGCAAAGTTGGTGACCATCAAGCAGAAAAGCATGTGTGAGAGAGGGTGTTAGACTCTAACCAATAAGGCCCCATTAGCATAAGCTCAAGTGGGACTCAGTGTTACATTGTTATGCACATACACTTTATAATTACACTAACTATAATATATCACTGATCGTAAATTGGCTTTTAAAAAAATTTATTTATATATGCATACAGAACTGGGGTACAGACCAGAAGTACCAGGCCATGAGAAGATTCACCAGAGACAGAGTGGAGAGTAGAACAGGCAGACTGAGGAAGTACACTGCTGAGGGGGCAGCGGGTGGGTCAGGAGAGGTCTGCCGTGCCAGGTGGGTCAGCTCCAGGGCTGGGGACTGAAACCATACTGAAGCAGCTGCAGCTAGTTTGCAGTGCTGCATCCTAACCTGTCCCTCCCTGGTGAGGGAGGGCCCAAATTGGCTTTTAATAGATAATTTACCAGGAGACAAGTTCTTAACTGGTCTTCAATAGAGTCTGAACACATTTAAGTTGTAAGTCACCGTAGCTTCTAACACATTTGAAGTAGCAAGGGTATTACATACCACAAATATGAAATAATTCCTTCAGTAATGGCATGGAAAATTTGCCAGAAAGAGTTGAAACCCTGTCAATGACTTGTGTGATTATTCTGGTTGATGCTTTGTACTAAGACTAATCTGTCTATAAAGAACTGGATCACTATTTTTACTCCTACGAGTACTTAAATAGTGTAGAACTTCAGAGTGTAACTCCTATTGTCAAATTATTTCAAGTGTTTTTTTTTTGGGGGGGGGCTACAAAATAAAAATATAGGAAGAAATACCAGCTAAGAAAAAAAAAAAACAACAACCTTGCCCCACAATTTAATTTATTTTTGCCATTAGGAATGTTATTGGTAAAAAAGAAAATTTAAGAAAGCAAATTATACACACCAAAAAGTCCAATCAGTAGACTTTCAAAATACTTGTAATGGTGTCTTCCTGAACATGTGTTCAGGGTATAAAAGTGGGAATAAGACCAGGGCCTGTCCATTTACAAAGCCTCCAGTCAGAGGCAGAAGTGAAAGGATAACTGGATGATTCATGTTACCTTACCAGTTGTATTAAAATTCAGGGACCTCACTAAGCTTCAGTTTCTCCTTCCCCCAAAGAAACACTTGCTCCCTAAAGTAGTATGTATCTGGCTGAAAATCAAGCTTCCATGTCACAAATCAAGCAGGAGCTCTTTGTGTTAAAAAACTCATTCTAGGATCATCTGTAAAACAAGGGCTGGGGACTTTCCCATTTTACTCTCCCTGAAAGAGAAGTCACATTATACCAGACTCAGTGTGCATATGACAGTATTTCCAGAATGGAACCAATGTGATTTATTTTTAAAGCCCCAAGTGTGGGATTCTTTACATCTTCATTTACAGTCAGCATTAGTTTTCTTTGCCTGACGTGAAAGTCCCTTTTAGAGAAAAGAAAGAGCTAGACACAGAAAAGCTATTTGAAATGCCCAGGACAACCCGACTACTGCATAAAGCTACAATTAGTTGCCAAGCTCCCAAATTTCCTTTCTCTTTTTCAATTCCAAAGTCATGATGGTTCACTAATTAATGAGAAAGATTTCTGAACAGAGTTGAACTGATAAATTAGGCTTTTACTGAGATTTGAGATTTATATATATCCTTTCAATCATAAAAAAGGTTAAAAAAAAAAGAGCCTGAAACCACATAACCTTGAAGTATAAAGTTAGAAAGCAGACTGAAACAAAGAGTGTTAATCATATAAAGTAAAGCCCATTTTACAGGCTGAGGAAAAAAAAAAAAAAGCAAGTTGGGATGTTCTGCTTTTTGAGTTAACAAAGTAGGCAACCAGTTCTGACACATTCCACTGGAGAAAGTAAGCACCACCTTAAAAAGAAGAGAATCTATAGAACTGAACCTCAGCCGAGTACCATTAAAAGAACAAGTACAAACATGCGGTTTGGAGCGACATGACAGAAAAGTCAGACACACTAGAAATGTTTATTCAACATCAACAATACCTCGACAGAAGGATGTTGCAATTCTGAGCTCTGCGACCATCAATCACCGAAAGCTCTTTGACTTTAAGCTTGGAACTCAGTGTGTCATCAATGGCATCTGCTTCTTTCTATAACGAGCATGAAAGAAATCCATCAAACCAAACAAGGACATTCCGACTTTAGACATACACTTTTCCTTTGTATTTTCTGACACACACACACAGACATACACACACACACACACACACACACACACAAAGTTGAGATGGGGGGCTGTGTAGGGAACTCAAGGAATTAAAACAAAGACTAAAATCTGGTTGACAAAGGGGAAAATAAGAAAAACTGACCACCCACATTTGAAAAACCATTATTTGGAAGAATAAAGCACTTCTAAGTTGAAGATGCTAAGTGTGCATAAATTAACAGTGAGTAGTGCCCTCCTTTTGTCCCCCAAATCCCTATGGATAGCAGACATGGATAGCAGACAGAAGAACTGTCAGGATGAATCAAGTTCAGCTGAGGTTTGCCATGGCCAGTCTGGTCATTTGCAAGGGCCATTCACTCCAGAACCATTTGCATCCAGAGCACTCAGAAAGCTGAACAATGAAACTTCCCAAACATCTTTACAAGCAACAGGAAGCTTCAAAGTCCAGATGGTACCTTTCACTGCCCTGGTGCCTGGTGGACAACAGGGCGGGGGCAGCTCAAAGAATTAGCTCAGTCCCTCAAATTAACAAGCACAACTGCACACTGCTGCTGCGGTGCCCGGAAAGCTGTAAGCAGTAATGTCCAGTCATGATTACAGTGGAAGGTGGACAAAACAATTCTAAATACTGTTTGAATAAGCTGCACAAAGTGAAAATACAGACTGACTTGATAAATAGTAAGTTTGACTTAAATAGAGATCAGGGTCAATTTTAAAAATGGATCATAATAGTGTTTTAAGAATGTAAGGAAACCAAAGCGCTCTGGAACTATGCAAGTTTAGGAAACAGACAATATGGAATTTGTAACAAGGAACCCTGTGTGGCCCAACTTCAACAGTCTTTTGTGCTAAGATCTCAGGTATACCTCTACCTATTCAGTTAAGAGTTGAATCCCAACATGGAATTACATCAGCATTACATTACACTACTGGAATAAGAGGGAGAGCCAAGACGTTTCAAGCTTATAGTGAGCCAAGGAGTTATTCTAAGCAAGGTTTAGGAGGTAGCTCACTTACCTGCTTGGAGTTACTGTTCACAAAGAAATCCTACAGCCATGGCAGAGGCATGGAAAAGGCAAATCAGATACATGCAGTTCAGAAATCATAGCAACAAATGGGGGAAAAGTCAAAGCAGTCAGGGGAATCAGAGACACAGGGTAAGAGATAACTTATGCCTGCAGGATCAGCAATGAACGCTGTTGAAGATGAGAAAGGCTGGATGAAAGTACAATGTGGAGCAGAGTACTAAGCATTCAGGGCAGAGAAAGATGGCAGGTATTGCACACAATTTTCCTTGGTGGCATATCAAATTTAGAAGAGAAGAGAACTTAAAATACCTCAGACAGACTCAAATTGGGAAAGAAAAGCTGGGAAAGGAACAAATCCTCTGGCGGACAGGGGGCCTCCACTTATTCAACGGGAAAATACCAGTTCCATCAACCACTGTCCGGTATTACCCAGTGAAACATGCTCTTTTCTGGGTAGAGATAATTCCCTGCCTTCTTGTGTCACAGGAGGGATTAAGAAAAGAAACATTCAACAACATAGGTCGTATGAACTCTTCAGTATCCCTCAGGATTCTAAATGATGCCTTTGGGTACTATGGGTGGGTATGAAGAAAAACAGAATGTACAATAACCAAGCCATGTGGTGCATAGCCAACCTTGGTCCTGTCCCAGCTGCCTTTAGGGCTTTTTCAAGCATACGAGGTCAACAGTCTCTTTTGAAATAGTTCATAGAAAAGTCTTGGAGTGAAGAAGGAAAAGAGGAAGAAGCAATTGATATCAGAAAAATTATAGCTTTCTTGGCATATTTTTGCAATGATGGAATGAATAAAAGCTTCGGTGTTCAAAACACACCCCAGCTTTCAGACCAACTGCTTGCAAAACCAGCATTGGCTCAGCAGATTCCTTAAGGTCTTATTGGTCCCGGAAGCACTGCCAAGGCCAATTTTACACAGATGAGCTGGTTTGCATCATTCTTGTAGTGTGAAACACAATGTGTTCTCCCTGAACTCACCCATTCAGGGAGGGATTGCTTTTCTAGAATGACATTTGAGAAACAGATGATAACCAAAAGAAACCTTTCTTTTCCAAAGTCTCAGTTTTCCTTCATTCCTGTTCTAATGTCCAAGTTTTCTACTCTGCAGCTCTTTAGAACTCTTTTCCTATAAGAAAAAGCAGCTTCTTCTTTCAAGGGCAGAAAAAGCTATGGTCAAGTGAACTTTTCTTTTGTAAGGAGACAGGCTGCTAGCTGAAATTAGATCTGACTCTGTCAGACAACTCCTTTTCCATTAATTCCTGTTGTCAGGAAATTAAGACCTCTGACCTCTACTGTAGTGGACAATGGAATCAGGCACTTCTCTTTTACGAGGTATGAGGCTTGGGGTTCAGTCTGACACTCTGTAAAATGGAGTTGATAACTGAAGATTAAATGCAATAAAGTATTTAAAGCATTTTGTATAGTAGCGGTATATATTTATTTCCAAGCACAAAATATCAGGCATTACAATTTATTAAGTCCATTTTTTTCTTCTTTTGCTTTTCTATCAGCAACAAGTGTAAAAGTTGATAGCTAAGTCAAGTACCTTGGCTTTCCAGAGGTAAGGATGAGATGCCATGGGAGAGTTTTGTTAATTACTAGTCTTTCAGATTCCCCTTCTTAGGGAAAGACAAATACCAGATGGTGTCCCTTAGATTAGAATATGGAGAAACAAAACAAAGGACCAGATAAAACCAAATTAGTAACAAACCCTAAAATCCGACTAAATTTGAATCTACCAGAGGGGGAGAAGAGGGAGGAGAACAAAGTGGGGAGGAGCTCAATAGAATGATGATGGACTCTTAGTGTGGTAGGTGTGACTGGGTATCCTTGAGTCATAGAACAATGTTGAAAATCAATGTTACTGCCATTAGGTGAAGAGATTCCCCTTCTTTAGAGTCCTTTAATAATCATACTTTAAGTCAAATCACAAATTTATTGGGGGCATGCTAAAAAAATAATGATGCATCCAGTACTTTACAAATAAATTAACATTCTTTTTGCAAACTTGAATTATTCATTAACTGACTTAGGCCAAACATGATTCGACCTAAGAGGGTGTTTGATTTTTGTGGATGATTTTTTTTGGGGGGTATTGGAAAATACATAAGAAATTGGGATTTCTACTGTCAGAACCCAGCATTGATATGTTCCCATCAGTAGGATCCCACAATGAAAATGGCTCAACACTGCAGTGATAATGACAAGTCTCACATGAATAATGATAAACCCTACATAAATGCTTCTTAATTTTTTTGAGGTTGAATATGGAGAAACAAAACAAAGGGTCAGACAAAACCAAACTAGTAACAAACCCTAAATTCTCCCTTTCCAGGAAAATATGTACACTGATATTTATACAAAACCCTGCATTTGATTAAGTCATACCATTGAGTCTTGTTATGGAATCTCTACCTAACTCTGGTCATGAGAAAAACCACTATTTACAATTTTCTCTTCTGCCTTCATAGGCTGTGGTTGAGTATAAAGATTATTGAAATAAACACCTTCATTTATATACTTTTTCAATGTAAGAATTACATATACAGAAAATGAAAAATATGAAAAGAATAAAAGAGGGAAATTCTTTGACCACTAGTAAAGAAAATAGAATATAGCACTGAGTGCTCCAAATGACACCCCAAGAATGAGTAAATGCTATATTATAGCATTTTAGTAGGACAAGACAGATTCTGGAGCATAGGACAGCACTTATACTTTGTTCCTTCAATAAGAGCAGAAAAGTTTAAAATATTTTACTATGTGCTGATAATGGGACCTGTAAAAAAGGGTCTCCTTAGATAAAGAGCAGGAAGGAAGAATGATCATAGCTATTTATTATTTAATAGTATCTGAAATAGCATCACTATGCAAAGCACTACACTATGCAGTAAAATGGTGTTTGTGTGTGTGTATGTGGTTGGACTAGAGAACATGCATAAAACAGTTTCAAGAAAAATAGGTTCTAAGATTCAAGAAACTGACTTTTCAATGAACTTTTGGAATGCGAGCAGGGGAATAACCCTGCTTACTATTAAATTCCATTTCATGTGGCCCATAAGCTTACATAATCAGCTTTGCACACCTTTGATATCCACACTGAAAGAAAAAAAATCCTAAATAGGAACAGTCTTGTTCTTAAAACTGGAGCTACAGTAAACCTTTGACAAAGCCTGACATTCATAATGAATAAAACCATCACATGAGAACAGAGTGCAACTAAGAATTATGCTGTTTGTAGATCTAGCCATTTGAACAGTGAGTGCACACTACATCATAGGAAATAGGAATAATACTAGCCTTGCAGAGTCAGTGTGATGATTAAATAAATTAAAAATACCCGAACTCAATGACAATTAAATATTAGGGTTGATGAGATTGGAAACGGGGCAAATCATGCGCAACACCAAGAATGTTAATGGACACTTGACTAATTAGTATCTTTTAGTTAAAATTGTGGCTATTTATGGGGTTTTCTCACCTCTGCTTTTGTACTATAAATTAAATTGTGGGCCTGAGCAGCAACAGTTCAGTGTATTTACATCCTTTGAAATCCTTTAAATACAAGTAGACAGCATGTCTGTTCTGATTTTAATGACCTACTTCTCAAGTCCACGGGGGCATAGATTGTGTACGTGTGCCCACATACTTATATAAAATACCTCCCCTGAGTTTCACTAATCAGTGTTCACCTAAACTAGACAAGTCTGACATTTGAGTTCCTTTTCAAAATCTTTCTCGGTGTAGTGTCCCTGTTGTATGCACAGAGTTAATGGTATTTGTTTGTTCCATTACCTTTCTGAAAAATTTACATGATCAAACAATTGGCCAAAGTCTAGAGAATTTAATGAGGGCTTTATAACTAGATGGCAGAAAGTGAATATTGTAGGAAAAGTAGGTTTCTCATATTCATTTGGGAGTGGAAAGGAGATCAGTGTTAGTGTGATGATAACCACATAATGCAGTGTCAAGCCTAAAATGAGCACAAGCCCAAGTCTGTGATGACACCATTAGTTATGAAACTAGGGGCCATTCAATGACAAGTACTGTGTTTCATTCACTACTACATATTCCTACTAGAAGGTGGGCATCTTTCAATTTTATGTCTCTCCACAGTCAGTAAATTCAATAAAACGGCTCAAATGACCTTCATTTAGGAAATGACATCTTCCACTCTTGCTCCAACAAGAAAGTATACTTGAATCATGCTGAACAGGTGTGATGAAATATTTTCTCCAGGAAATGTTACTGAAAATGTCACAACTGGTTCTGCTTACCAGTCTACTTATTGTCAAGTACAAGTGAAATGTTCCAGTCTATCCTGACTGGAATCACTACTGATTACTTAAACAGTGTTTGGTTGCTAAGACACAATTACCCAAATGCTAGCTCTCTGCAAACTGTCTGCCAGAGCTCTTGAGAACTGTCCACATATTTGTCCCAGAGCATCTTGGCAGTATCCTTCTGTACCTTCTGCTGAAAGCCTGTTAATTATGAGTCGTGTAAACTTGGGTCCTTCAACCACCTGCCCTGATAATAAGTGCAAGCCACATGTTCAGACTTGAATAGCATCGTTTGAAATAACTGATGTTTCCCTTCCTTCAATTTAACGCCTCTAAGTTTCCAAACTCTCATCTTAGGCACCCAGAATGGACTGTTATTAGGACTAGGGGGAAATTAGTGGGACATGAAATGAGGTCAGAAGAATATTTGAATCTAGTAAGAAATTTGTTAAAATGTATTAGAGCTTGTATTATGGCTCAGAGGAAACCTCCTGAAAGGGGGGATGGGAGGAGGGAAGAAGTGGGGGGTGTGGAGAGGAGGTTCTACCTATGGCCAATGAGCAATGAATCTGGTCTGAGCATTTGCTCTAAGACAGCTCTGAGCAGACCCTTAGGCAACCACCTGCATTTTTATACTTCACTGAAACAGCATAAAATGCACTGCAGAGAAGCTTTTCCTCTTCATTGAAAATATTCTGTCTAAAAGACACAGCATATTTTTCTTTTTAATTTCAGATGCATGAGAGACCATTTGAAGATTAGAAACCTTTTCAGCTTTTGCTTCTTGCCTGGCCTCAGACCATCATTCCCCCTCAGGGCTTAGCAGTTCTGTTCTGGGACACTCCTAGGGTCCTGGGCCAAGCCCAAGCGGACTAGGAAGTCTGCCACTCTTCTGAGGATGCTCCACCCTTGGCATGATTCAGGGTGGACTCAAGGGCCTCTAGACCAAGCTGAGGAAAGCCCCTGTAAAGATGCCCGGCCTCTGTGTGCTCCTGCTGAAGACATACTCTGCTTTCTCCACATTTCTCTCCCGGGGCATGCCTTCTCACTCTGAAGCTCAATTTTTCCCTTCCCAGGTCACTGCCTTGGGTGCCTGCTGCAGCTTTCTGTGCTCTGAAGCTTTTGTAGTGAGTCACCTTGCCATGACCTCTTCTGCTCTACCCTGAAGATCAGTGTGGTGCCTTCCAGGAGTCTGGGGTACTACACACTTATGACCAGGGTTCATGAGGGCAGAATCCAGCAAGAACATGTCCAATGTTGTCCCTGTGACCACAGAAGCTTTGCTTGCCCCACTTGAACCACTGCCATCTCACACCTGCTCAGCCTTCCCTGCCCCACTTTCAGTTCAATCACGTGCAAGACACACAGTAACAATGTCCCTTGGCCTGGCTGCCGCAATTTACTTTTAAAGGTCAAGCTATTTCATAAAGCAGCTCACTTCTGACAATAACCAGTTGATATATATACACATAGATTTCGAAAAGTCAGAAAAAAAAAGATGCCTTTCAGAAACAAAGCATTATGAGGTGATAAGTAAGGTGATTCTCCTATTACTATTTTTCTCCATTTGACCAAGCACAGTGATAATATACAGAACTCCTTTCAACAATGGAGACAGAGCAGGGCATGAAGCTCTCGAACCAAGAGCTTGTGTACTTCTTCTCTTTCTCTCTGTCACACACATTCTCACAGGTACTTGGACACACATGGACACACAACATGATGCTTTGCAAGAAGATTCTGGGTACCAAGGAGCTGACAGCTAAGACAGCAAGGTGATGGAGATGGTCCAGGGAATCATGCACAGGAGACACATTTTTTTTTTTTTTTTACTTCTTGGCATCTGTACCACATGCTGTTACCTGCTGTCTTTGGTAAGCAGAGAAAGTTCTTTCCAAGTCTTCAAGATCTAGAATTTTGAAGACTTTCGTATCATCAATCTCGGTCCATACTGTTCCTTCTAGTTTGTTCTGCAAACATGAAGTTAATGAGTGCTGTAGTTTATAGTTATACACTAAAAGAACAGACGTAATTTTTTCAACATGCTGTTACCCCCAATTTTTCATTCTACCAGATGTGCCAAGTGAGCTGGTTTCAAACAACATGTAATTTATTTCAGAAGTTTTATCACTTAAATTTCTGAGTGAGTGGGAACCTGGAGTTCACACTAGAAAATGAAATCATTTAACAGCCAGGCGGCTGCTTCCCCTCTCAGTGACAGCGTGCTGAGCCGCTAATATTAGCCATTAGAGGGAAAACTGGAGCAAATGGCTTACCTCAGGCAGTTTGCACCAGTTGAAGGATTTCAGGGCATTTGTGGGCTGAGGGATGTTCTTCTTCTTGAGTGCCAGGCCCATTGGAGCGCCAGGGGGTGGCATGAATCCTCCTAAAGGAGGCGGACCTGGGGGAGGAGGAGGGCCCCCCGGTGGGAGAGGAGGTGGAGGAGGGGGCAGCATTCCACCTGGCAAAAGTGGTGGTGGAGGAGGAAGGAGAGACCCAGGGGCAGAGGAAGGAAAAGGCCCCCCTGGGGCTCCGGGCGAGGGTCCACCTGGGACTGAAGCACATACAGCCCTCTGAAAAGACAAAACCAATGGAAGAAGTCAAGTTGTGGGGTGTTACGGAGAGTCTGAAGCTTGCCTCAAATGCACATGACAGAGAGACCCACACTTCTGAGATGAAAGGGGCACTAAGTCCAAGGACGCTTTCCAGCCTCCATGGGATCTGCTGGGTCGGCCCTGCACCTGCACGGTGACAGCGCCTCCGCCACGCACTCACGCGTCTCTCAATTCCTGGGTCCACTGCGCCGCTTGGTTTTCATGAGAGCGGTCATTTCAGAAACTAGTGTGATTTCCCTTGTTCTTACTAGAAGCTTTGTGTTTAAAAAATCCTCTCCCTCCCCCCAAATAAGGAAAAAATAAACCTGCTGCTGCTGCGTAACCTGCGCAGACTAAGTCAATGTCACAACCACTGTGATAAATCAGGGGTGTCAGGTTTTCTATCCCTAGGCAGAAATTATCTGCTTGAGGATGGGGGCTCTGGGAGAAGTGAGGCCTCAGCCGCTGACTGGAACAGAAGACCCTGGGCGGCCGCAGCTCTCACCCTATTGAGCTCGTGGAGCTGTGCCGTGAGATCCGCCACCTGCTGCTTGACTTGCTTATGCTCAGTGGTCTCCTTTTCAAGCTTCTCTTTCATTTTGTTTAAGGTCTGCATCATCTCCTCCTTCTCTTGGGTCTTGGCATCACATTCTCGCTCTTTCTTTTCCAGTTTCTGCTGTAACTCATTGTGCTCTGAGCATGAAAACAAAGGGATGTAAGGACAGAGCACTCCAGTGCTGAAACATTCTCTCTACAGACAACACTGACTGAGGTGACCGTGAGGGTCTTCAGGAAGTACTGCTCCTGTCCTCCATCAAAGGGAGTGACTTAAGGGCTCAAAGGTGGTCATGCGTAAAGGGGGGGCTTCAAATGAACCACCTTACTACATTTAAAAGACTGAAGAATCCCAGAGTCGCAGAACTAAAGACAGAACACAAGGTCATCGGTGGCGAGAATGGTGCTTGTTTGGGACTGAATTCAGAATCCTTCAAAGGAAGGGTCTTTGAGCCAAGCTGGGGAATGGAATATTGAAAGGGTCTCTTTTTGTAAATTAGAAATGAGTGAGAGAAGCAGGGTTTCAGTAGGCGGGTTTGCTGGCTCATGTCTAACAAGCAGGAGGGCTGGAAGAAGGATCTTGCCCTTTGAGGGAATGCCAGACTGAGTGTCTGCCCAACGCAGAGTCATTCCTCTCCTTTCCTCTCAGAAGGCTGTTGGACCTGAAGTATTTTATGCCTCCAGCTAACAATTATTAAGACTTGTGAAAGCAAATGTTATCATCTCAACATTAAATATCTTAAGGGCAGTAGTTCTGGCTGAGCATGAGAGTCACCAAAAATACCAGCTTTCGGCTGTAACTTTACTAACTTCCCAATCCAGCTATCATGGAACAAGGCAGCCAATTTAACATAATGTTTATTTACATTGCCAATAAGCCTGCTGACAGGAATGATGGGCTTTGGAAAAGAGAATTAATGAAGTTTAGGCTGCAGGTTTATATTGCCAATACTTGGCCCCAATTCGAATTCTTTTTATAACAACAAACTCATGAGAGAGAGAGGATCCGCTGGGACAGAGTGGTACAGTCGGTTTCTACTTCTGAATTTGTTAACACATTTAAATTCTTGCTTTCTCTGTACCTTACATTTTCTGAGTCCTCCAAAATTACTGGTTTGTCAGAAAAGTTATGACATATTTTTTATGTTTTCAAGCAAAAAATGTATCATGACTTTTCTGACAACCCAATAGTTTACAGAAAAGGGTTCAAGCTATTAAAATTCTTGGACTTTACCAGACTTCAGTTAAGATAACCTTCAACCCATTTCTTCAATTCTGTGGAAGGCTTCCCTGACTTCTTCAGAGACACATGAAAAATCTCACTATTTCCCAAATTCCCTATTCAATCTCCATGTCTTTCTTATTTGACAAATTTAAGATTTGACTTCCTATCACCTATTGTTAGCCTTTGATAAATCTGGCCATGCTTCAGAACTACTTGAGACATGTAGCATTTCAAGATCTCCACACCTTATTCCAAAGGATCTATGTTGTAGGGCGGGGCAGGGCTTAGGAATATGGTTTCTGAGTCCTCCATAGATGGTTCTGATGTAATGCCACCTTTGAGAAGCTCTGGCCTAAATAGTTGCTTCACAAATGATATCCGTTTACCACCCTTTCACTAAGCTTTTATTGAACACTCATTGGGTGTGTTACACTAAAGAGAATTCTCTCTAAATATTCTCCAACTTTCAGGTCCTAAAACTTTCTGTCTCTTTACTCCTTCCATTCTTGGAATTAATCAACAAATGTCCTTTTTAATACAACTTTGCCTCTTCAAACTTCCAGAAAAGAATTAATTTTACCTGTAACATCTTCTTTTCTACTTACTACCTATCACCTCACTATAAACCACCCAGCTCTGCCCCCTGACTTTGGCCATTACCTCTTGTAACACCATACCTGCCGAATCTTACCATAGTTGCTATCATATATTGTGCAACCAGTTATGTCCCGGTACTGTGCTAAAGTCTTTTATTTGTTTTATAATTTAATCTTCACAACACCCCTGGAGTTAGGTTTAATCTTCACTTTACAGAAATATGGATAAAAAGATACGATTTCTCTTATCCACCCAGTAAGTGGCAGAGCTGAGGTTCAGACCCAGAGCTTGCTACAGTGGCTGACACTGAAAGGCTTCATTGGGTATCCACTGACTGACCAACCCTAAAACGTGCATCCTAAGAACTCTCCACAACTAGTACACTTCAATCTCTAGGCTCTTGAGTGTTTCCCTGAACTACCACAAGTTGACAGTTTTCCTTTGGTATGAGCTCTCTTTACCCTTCTAGTCACTATGTCTATTATTTTAATAGCAGTTTATGGTATTTACTTATATGTGCATTCTCATTTTTTGGAGAGCAGTTTGAATTTCTGTGGGAACCTATATCCTCATAGTACTTCACATTTGGTAGTGGATACCCAGCTTTTCTGCTCAGTGGAAAAGGACTAATGTGATGAGAGGACAGGAAGTACTTTGGCATCTCTTTGACCTTCTTTTCAACATGCTAAACAATGGGCAAGTGCTGCTGTATTTCACTGGCTTTGAGTGAACAACTTGGGCAAGGAAAAAGAAGTCAGTTAACCAACTGAGTAAAAGCACAGTGGCCAGGGATAGAATGCTTTCTGAAAGGAACCAATTGTAATTTGCTAATATTCTGAAATGAGACAGTTATATCCACTCTGTGAATAACTGGCAGAGTGATGGACACAGATGACCTTCTTGTGAATTGATGCTGAATGTTAACATAAAAGAAATATTCAAATATCCACCAACAGCTGGTCTGTTAATATTTCACAGCATGTTTATCTACAGTGGTTGGTTGTTTTTTTTTCTGTATGATTTCTCCTTTTTGGTGTCATGCCAAATTAAGGTCCTGTGGTGAGTTAGGCTGCTGAGACCAAGTTGTCTAAAACTTTGGGCAATTCCTGGTATCTCATATCAGAGTTCTTAAAATTCACTGTGATTTAAAGACTGGGAGTGGGGATGGGTTGAGATAAAAATTTGAATTAATGACTATTAAATTACAAAATATCAGAAGCTTTTTCTAAAAATGTACATGATTAAAGTAAAAGGACAAAACATTTGGGAATCAGCATGACAACTAATGAAACTTGATTCAGGAAAAACCAGTGCAAAATGCTCTAAGACGTGGAAAAAGAAAGGCTCTTTGATGCACTGAAGTCACTAAAAATTATCAATGCAAATTCCTTATATGTGCAGAGTTGCCCAATAACGAGCAACAAGGCCTCTTGTCAGGGCCTCATCTTTTACCTTTTCTCATTTTTTCTGCTTGTTCTTTCCACTGCTTAACTTCATTTTCATTAACCAACCTGTATAATAGTTAAAGAAGCATTCGTTACAAAAACATAAAAGCCCATAGTGCAACGCAAGCTGCCTGCATACAAATGACACCAGCTGCAGAGAACACCCTCAACCTGCTTGAAACCCCGGTGTTTCTTAGATATACCACATGTGTATATTTATGAACTCATATTTGATTGGTAGAACATTTCAGCCTCTCCCAGCTCATATTTTGAAGATAAAATAAGCAACATTGTCACTATCTTTTCACAGTCTGTAAAATAAAAAGAAACTTACATCCGCACAACATTCTTAATATTAAAATTTTCCAAAGGTGTGGAGTCAGGGTCCTGTCCTTTGTCATTTTGGATAACTATTTGCTGTATAATCCTATCTAGCAGCAGCCAGTACTGAACGGTGTTGCCACTTCTCTTGTCTAGAAAGAAAAGAATGATAGGAAAAAACTTCAGGTGGCTTCCAAACTAACACAGTGTTGTTCGGTAAACACCAGCCTCCAGAGTCAGAAAACCAGAGAAATGTTTACAACATCTGTACCAAAGCTCCCAAAAGTTTCTGAAATCCTGCCATGCAATGATCTATTATTTGATTGAGAGGCACTTTCTAGCCCTTTCTGTGTTGTAAGGCATGTATCTATTTTTGAAACAAAGTAAGTTAAAACTGATTTCATTTTGAAAACTTCAGACACCCCTAAAATCTGAAGTCCCTGATGCGCACCCAACCTAACAGTAGTGTTCTGAAGACAGACGCCAGTGGACAATGTCTAAACATTCAAAATCACACAGGTAAGTCACAAACACACTCACAAGGCATTTGGAGGCAGTGGTGCAGGATGGACATGAAGTGAGGGTAAGCTTCACTGTGAGTCAGCCTCTTCCTGGTCAGCTCAAACATCTGAGTTGCACTTTTTGTGTCTATGTGGACCTGTTTTATATGAAAACGATATCTAAGTCAAATACCTTCAGTTCCCAAAATGCAAGATAAGAAAGTCCAAGGTAAACAGAAGCTAATCCTAACACATAGGTAGCAAAACAGAAGTTTGGTTTTGCTCTTAGGATACACTGGTCCATGTCTACTCTAGCGCATACACCGAAATAGGGAAATTACAAGCACTGGTGAGTCAAATCAGAAACACTGTAAGCACACATACCAATTCAAATCTTTTGGCAAATTCTAGTTCATCTTCATTTCGGAGCATTTCAAAAAAGTCTAAATGCCTGAAAGAATGAAAGAGAAGCTATTAGAAACAAAAGATCCTATAAACACAGGCACACAGTAGTCAATGTATTAACACAAAGGCCTTTCTTAAATTTTTAGGGATATCCCTAAAGTAAAGAGGGCATCAAATTTTAAATGCCTTTACCCAGTTAGACTTTTTCTAAGGAAAAAGAAAAAGATACACATCACGTGGCTGAATGAGATCACAATAGGAGACAAATTTAAAAGTCTAGAATACTTTGCACATAGTATACAATGTTTATCAAATCCAAAAATTATCACATCTGCTCACAGATACCATATCTAGAACAACAAGCTCATCCCACATTTGACTAGCTGCTGTGTTAAAGATCACAGAAGACATGACATTCACTTATTCCAACATTTACTGAGTCCCCCTCTACATTATAATGTAGACACAGGGGATGCTAAGTTCTCTGAAGAAAAATACATCAGGGTAAAGGGAATAAAGATAAAAGATAATGTGATTAATGGGGACAGAGGCTGGAAAATGTCTTTTGTTAGGGAACAAGGGAAAAAGTTATCCTGATATCTGTGGACTGATATAGAAAGTGCAATGAGAATGAAGCAAGAATATTTTGGCATGTTCATAGAAAATCAAAAAAAGAGCATGCCTGAGTGCATGAACAAGGAAGAAGAGTGGTGGAAAGGAAAAGATGTGGTGAGCAGTAGGGCATGTTAATAAAAAAAAGATTGAAGCTAAGAATAAATGAATAGGAAAACAGGAAATGAGTTTACAGAAAGCCTATCAAAGGTGTCAAGTGATTTCCACACATTTTATAGTCAATTTTCCTGACAGTCTTGAAAGACAGTTGTCATCATAAATTATCACTACCATCATATTTCTTTACAGTATAAAAATAAAATGAATGACTTGATTGGAATACAAAGCAAGTAAGAAGCAGGACTAGGCTATAAATTCAAATCTAATACCTGAGAACCCATACTAAGTTCTTGACACAACATAATGCTTCTTTGATTGAGAAAGTCATACTATAAAAGCATTATTAGTTGAACTAACATTCTGGTCCCAGCTCCTTATATTACAGAAGGTAGTTCAGAGGCTGGAAAGAGTGCAAACTCTCTCAGGTTATAACAGTCTGGCTTACCTATCCAATGTGGAATTTTCATGTTCTCTTAATTTATCTATTACAGGTTGAATTCCTAACATCAGAAATTCATAGCGAAGATGAAGTCTAAAGTCCAGACTTTCCTGAAAATAGAAGGGTGATAAAATACTTATTTATGGTTGTTAGACTATAGTCACTTTTCATTATTCTTTAATAGCATTATGCTTAAAGCTATGGTTTAGAATGTTCTTACCACGCCTGCGCCTTGGCTGAGCACTGCATTGATGAAGGACATGATGGCAGTCTTGAGACTCACTTCATCTCTATACCGCCCTGTGCTTTTGTCCAAGTCATTAATTAATGTCTATCAAGGATACAGACATAAAAACAAAGGACTGAATCATTAACACCACAACCTTACTTCATTTATTCATTATTTTAGAACCAGGAGTAAAAAAACTTTAGAATTATGTTGATCCATAGAAAGCCACTTTCCCCATTTAAGTCTTTAAAAATTCATTCAAAATTCTTACACTGCCCATGTTCGCATGTACCTGTATGCAAGGTACAAAAATGGTGACATCACTATTAATGCTGATCCTAAATCAAAAATAGCAACTAATAACATTTTCAGGGACCATCCCAGTTCGTGGCTTCAAAAGATGTGTGCTATATTATGTGTAGGAAGTTGGGCCACATAGTGAGGTTCAGTTTATCAAAAACTTCAGATGGTTCAATTACAGAAAGTACATTCTACTTTCCAGTACTAAAACCAAAGAGAAAGGAGATACACGCAGTCATACTTTCCAGTACTAAAACCAAAGAGAAAGGAGATACTTGAGGTCATGATGTGAGTCACTCTAGGACAAATTTCAAGTTATGTTCCCTCTTCTCCCCATCAGAGGAATGACCACAGGAGGGAGGCTCACCCACCTGGAAGCGGGTTCTCTCGCTGGCGTACTTCTGATAATGCAGCATGGCCTGTAGAACCTTCTTGTGACCCCCGGGAACCAGGCACACAGCGCCCAAGATTTCCAGCACGGCCACCTTTGTTTTAATGTTCTCTGTGCTCAGACTCTGAGCAATTACGTTTATACTCTCAGAATGAGCCAGGACATGAGCCCGACCTTGAGAGTTGTTCATTAGCGCCTTTATACATCCAATGAGAGAGGTATGTATTCGAGACTCTGAGGTCTCATAGTCCATGGTCTTTAAAAAGTTGAGGATACATGAGAGGCCATCTAAGTCAATGAATCTGGTTACAAACCTGCCATGAGAAGAAGGTTAAAGTGTATCAGAACTAAGTCTCTTTGAAATTCCATAATAACCTAAGTGGAAAAGTCCAGAGGAGGGCACAGGCCAGGAGAAAGTGAGAAAAACACTTCTTAAAGTGCCATAAGGTTTCCGCTGACTAAGTCTTCTTAATTCCTGGTCTCTTCCTTGGCAAAGACCCAATGGTCAGCTCTAACCAGAAAGAATGAAAAGATCTTTCCACTTGAGGTAAATATATCTTAAGTGATACATCGTATGATGTACACACCAGTAAAATTAAAAATAAGCAACAAGCAGGCACTCAGAAGCCAAGTAAATATCTTGAGTTGAGGTCATCTGCTGAGTCAGCGTTATGGCAGCATGCAGCCCCCCTGCACTTTTATGTGTTGGCCAAAAACCCCCACAAACTCCCTATCAATGACAGTCAAAGTTCATATTTAGACTTCAGGATATTTACTTGTCAAATAAATGGCAATTTATAGCCTTAAGATTTTGTATAAAAAAAAATCATCTTTTGTACGATGATGCACTGACTCACATTATATAAAATAGATAAAAACAATATTTTATTACCATGTATTATTGTTTGCTATAAATTGTATAAATGAAAATAGCTCACAATGGACATGGGCATGTCAAAGCCTTGGAAAAGTTCAAATGTAACCTGACCTTCTCTACAGGTAGCTTATGTGACTACTTATTTAGCACTGGCTACCTATTCACATCTGAGAATGCAGAATATACACACAGAGGAAAACACTGATTTAGTTAAAATAGGCTAGAAAATCTCAGACATATAACTGATAAGGGTTACTGATGAGTCAGTAAATTTTTCTGAGCACCATTTTATAGTCAAAAAAGGCAGGGAATCTTGGTTTTCCAGTCATTTTTAACCAATCACTATATGATATAATAAAACTAATTAAACCACTTGACTTCATTTAATAGCAGCTGTGCTACAAAATTTAGTACCCCAACATCCCACCAGACTTCAAGAGGCAATAACAGAAAAAAATGAAGGTAGAGGAGGCAAACACAGGAAGATTACTAGAGAGGAAGCAAATCACTGTTGCCAGAAAGTCTGCCACCCCCCCCACTTTTTTTTCACTTTTCTTGGACTACAACTCACGACATAAATTGCACACTTTTAAAATAAACAATTCAGTGGTTTTTCATATATTCACAGTGGTGTGCGTCCATCCCCACTATCTCAGAACAATTTATCAACCCTAAAGGACCATTTCCACATTGCTCCAGCCAGGCAGCTACTAATCTTTTGAGGTTTAAAGACTGGGTTTTTCCAGACATTTCATATGAATCACTTCTGACCTTCTGTGTGTGATTTCTTTCATCTGCATAATATTTTCAAGGCTTATCCACATTATGACTTATATCACTACTCTATTCCTTTTTTGTAGTCAAATAATATTCTATCTCACTTTTTATTTAACCACTCATTATCTCACTTAGGATTGCTTCCACTTTTTGCCTGTGATAAACAATGCTGACATGAACATTTGTGCTCAAAATTTTGGGAGGACATGTTTTTCACCCCCTTGGTTGTATATCTAGTAGCAGAACTGCAGGTACTTATGGCAATACTATGTTTAACAATTTGCCCCACTGTTCTTCAAAGCGGCTGCACCACTTTATATTCCCACCAGCAGAGAATGACAATTCCACTTTCTTCACATTCTCACCAGCAGTTACTAGTCTCTTTTTTATTTTAACAATGCTGGTGACTGCCTCTTTATCTTTTAATTGAAGAAAATCAATTTAATGAAAGTTCATGGTTAAAATATTTCATCTGCAACTCAACCACATGCTTTTAGAATTTCCTTGAAAGTTTGCCTAATGCATAAAATGGAAGGGCAGAAGAAAACAGTAAGAAGGGAAATAGGCAACAGATAATGCATGCTACCTAGAGGAAAATTACCTCATTGGTTTTGTTCTTAGTGCTGTCTTCAAACTCTCTATCGTTTTGCTTCTTTCCTCCTCTTCTTCTTTCTCTAACGCCAGCAGAGATTTTCTCTATGTAAAGAAAACTTAAGTTGTTTCTTCATTTTGCTTTAATTATTGCATAAGCAAACAAATCTACAGATCACATGCTACCATTACTTTTAATATGATCAATAAATCCGTAATTAAGATATACTACAAGCCAAGATGTAGAGCAATAGCATCAATAATTACACAAATTTGCCATCTCTTCTACAGTTTTTAATCTTAATGCTTTACGAAAATGCTTAGAAACAATTGTAGAGATTAATTATCCAAACGTTTGTGTAACTTGTATTGCTATATGTGGATGAAGATGCTACCATTTATAACTGATAGAAAGAAACGTGGACCTGTAATTGCACAGGTCCTCCTGGCAACTAAAATCAATCCCAGTACAGCATAAGGCAGATAGCAATCCTCTACAGTATCTCTCTTATTACTCTGCTGAAAAGTATAATTGTTTTGTAAACTTTTTGTTGTATCAAGTTATTTTTTCTAAGAGGAACAATTCAATTGGATCTGATACTAAGATGGTCAATTTCCTCAGATTTAGTGCTTAATGTTAGAAATGATTTGACATCACTTGGGCACCAGTCTACAGTGTGCATGTACATGTGTGAGAGTGTGTGTGTAGACATGCTTTGCCATCCAGGGATCTGCTAGGACCATGGTTTTCAAACTTTAATGTGGAGATGAATCATTTGGAGACCTTGTAAAATTCAGGCTCCTGTTTGGTATGTCTGTGTTCACCAAAGCCTACGCTGCTGCTGCACTTCTGACTCACTTCTAGGCAATCCTGATGCTGCAAGTGTGTGGCTTTTGCTCTGAGAAATACGGCTGTAAGGAAGCAGGTCTCAGTTAATATTAAGAGGTCATGAAAGCGAGTGAGGTTTTATAGGCTTGTTAGATGTCTTTTTCTATTTCTTTCATCCCATGATCACTTCATACTCCAAGTATTTTGATCCCAGCATTATGACCCAAGTATTATACTTCAGTATTATGACCCTAGTACTATGATTGCAGCTGCCCCCTTCCTCTGAGCCACAGCTCCCCTCTCTTTACCCTACTGTGAACAGGTGCTTGTCTAGTCTGTCTTTTTATTTGTTACCAGTTCTGATGAAAGATGTGTTGGGAAACAAGTCGGGGCACGAAAAAGGAAAGTCTGGCTCTTATCCATAAGTGTAGTAATCTCGCCTCTCCGGTCTTTCAAGACCACAAATCATTGGGTGCAGTATCAGTACTATGTATTCAAAAGTTAACTAAAGTCCCCCTTTGACTTTGCAATTAGGAGAATAAACTAAAAGGCAAATGAATGTCAGTATCATTTAAGTTGTTACTGTTTCTGCTAAAGCTGTCCTCTGGTGTGATGTTCCTAGACAGCTGTCACAGGCAGACTGGGGGTAGGGGAGGCTGCATGTGGAAATAGCCCATGAATTCCTTCCTGGCTCTGAGACCCACCTCCTGGAAAATTCTGAACAAATCCAGCCGAGTATGTTTAATCTCCTATGGCACAGCTGAACTTGTTTAGACTCAAGCAATCACTTTGACTCACTGCAGCTCAGAATCAAGCCTTTTATGAATATTATTTCTTGTTCCTGAGCTTAATTACACAAAACTATCCCAATAATTAAAGACCACACACACATAGTATTGTGGCTCACTAATACTAAGGGTATATGCATTTATCCTGCTAATAACCATGGAGGCTGGAACATCTGAATAAAACAGAATACATTAATATATCCCGAGCAGAGCCTCGGGAGATTTAGGAAATGTTAAGAAAATTAAATTGGGATTTCCTTTCCCAGTATAGGGAGCATTGTCTTCCTATGAAAACAGAAGACAATTCACTTTTCTGTATGTGATAAGATAGATTCAGATCTAAAATTCTGAGAACAATGAGGACATATAGAAGAACAATGTTTTACTGGAATGTTTCAAAATAAAGTAATTTATATAAAGCTTTACTTTTTTTTTAAGTTTTATTTAATTGTGCATACAGAACTGGGTATAGGCTAGAAGTGCAGGGGCAGCGAGAGGATTCACCAGAGACAGAGTGGGAGCAGAACAGACAGATCGAGGAAGTACACTGAGGGGAGCAGCGGGCGGGTCAGGAGAGGTCTGCCACGCCATGTGGTCATCTCCAGGGCAGGCGGGAATCGAACTCATGTGGAAGCGGCTTTAGCTTTTTAGTGCTGCGTTTCAACTTGCTGCACCACCAGGGAGGGCCAAAGCTTTACATTTTTAAGCTTCACATTTGCAAAGAAGACTTAATTTGCAAGTTTTGGTGGCAAAGAAGGATATGCCTGTGTTTCTGAAAAAGGCCCAAGAGCAAATACCAAGGCTGCACCTTGGCATATGCAGGCCAGGCCTGTGGCAGCCTCTTTGGGTACTCAATGCACTTACTAGATCCCTGTGCCCATGAGAAGTAGGTGAAGGACAAAGTGCCTCCTGCAGAGACTCTCTGGTCCAAGCTGCTAAGCATGCAGGTCTGAGAGAGATGTATGGATGGATGAGGCATGGAATTCGTTCCTGGCTGGGGGCCTGGAACTAAGCCCCTGTTTGAAACATTTCCTTGGTGTGACAGCAAGCCTGCTGAGCACATGAACTTCACCTTACCCATCTGACCTCCTTGAGGGGACCCAGAGAAGACACATACAGAGAAGCCCAGGTTCTTTAATACCCTATTGGGCTTTGCAATTCTATTATTCTGTTCTTCGTTCTTTAAAAGCCAACCAATCACCCAGGAGCCCTTTAAAGAACAAAGCATTCTTGTTGTGAGGCTTAATTGAAGTAACTTAACTTGTTCCACAAACAGCTTCACAGACCAAAAGGGCTGCAGTTCTCAGTCTAGACTGTTTATCAGACTCTGGAGGGAAAAAAAAAACCCAAAAAACAAAAAAACAGATGCTTTCCCTCCCCCAGAAAAGTTTGGGATGGAGGTGTTATCACCAGGTCTTTCTGAATGTGCCAAAGGGTTTTAAAAACCAAATTAAGTGAAAGACCAATTGAAAAGGTGTCTGAACTTAGACTGAGAGATTTAAATTCCAGCTCTACCATCTCTAAATTAGATGACCTTGGGCAAGTTAACCTTTCTCTGGCTGTCAGACCTTATCTATAAATAACACTTATTGCATAGGGTGCTTGAAAAGACTTGCAACATGTGAAATGCCCGTAACACTGCCTTTCACATGATGGACATTCAGTAGTAGTAGTTGCTATTGATGCTCAAGACAATGAATTATGACAATGTGGATTTATAAATGTCCCTTCAGCAATTCCCAAACCAAAGAGACAGAGTCTGGTTGCCAATCTAGAGGAATCATGTCCTTTTCAGTGCCGAGGGACAAAGTTCTCAGGATGGCTACTCTGTTAGCAGGAATTCTCTAATACAGCTATCAGAGAAATTAGCCAGAACTATGAGAGGGGGTGAGGGTGGCAACAAATATGATGAGAAAAACAGACAACTCAGCATATGGTTTTTGGTCTCATCGGGTCTTCTTGTTCTTTTATGTCTATAGGAGTTCTGAGGCCTCTCTAATCCTGGAACTGTTAAACCCTCTACCTTTTGTCCTAGGGACATGCTGGCTCAGTGGTAAAGCAGCACTGGAAAGCACTATTGGGTGTTTAACACATAAAGAATGGCAAAGAGACTGACAAATGAATAGCTTTGAGATATTCTTGGAAAGGCTTTTGGATTAGGAGGCAAATATAATTAAAATGTAGACCATTCATGAATGTAGCAAAGGGTTGTCCAAGAGAAAGGAGGTTCTTGAAGAGATGCCATGTACTGGCCCATCATGAACCCTCAAGTGCAGGAAATAGGCCAGGCTCACTCCAGAGAAGGCAAGGATTAGTCACTACAGAACAAATAAACCTAACTGCCCCAAAATTTGAAGAAAGAAAAAAATCTATAGTACTTAGTACTTCTCCATTTATAGAAGTGAATCTAATAACAAAGCAGCAGCTTCCCTGGTTAGACATCAAACAATGCGGACTTAATTAGAAAGACACACAGCCTGACTGTAGGAACAAGAATTCAGAAAACAGCCTTTACATGCAGGAAATGTACATGGTTCTATATTAATGCTTAGGCAAATGCATAGAAAATCCTCCATGGTCATCACAAATCTCACAGTCTGTCAACATATTCATACAGATGCTTAAGTCAACCTTTTTTCATCCTGTCATTGTGTTGATGCCTTGTATGCTAAATTTTTGGTGATTATCTTCTGCTGTGCTTTTAGGTTAGAAAGCCTCGGGATAAAAGTTTCTGCAGTTTCTTCCATAATTTATACAGTCCTAGTCACATTTGTCACCCTGTTTGTTATTCATTGTGTGACAGCAGATGAAGCATCTTTAAAGAAGATGCTAGAATAAGAGTAAGTTACAGAAAGTCAAGGCTTCTAAAAGCTTAGCAAAAGAGTGACATACTCTAGTCAGTTTTTAACTTTTGCAGCAGCAGCAAAACATTAGAAAATCTAAAATGTTTGTGTTAAGTGATAAGAAAACAATTCTCAATAAAGAATCAGGGGAAGGAAGGAAAAGAAAGGTAGGAAAAAATATTAGGGAAGCAAGCATCTGCTTGAAACAATTCCTTCATGGTTTTTCTCACAAAGAATCCACCAGATTGATTCTTAAAATCAATAGTGTGCCTCCTGAGGCAGAGACTGTTTCCTATTGTGGGCAACCTCCAATTTGTATCAATATTAAGAGAATTTAAGCCAGTAAGTTCCAAGGTTGAAGACATTTTCAGCTGCAAATTTTAGCTGGATCAATAGCACCCCAAAAACTGCTCAGAACACTGACATCACAGAGACATCAGTGTAATCAGAAAATATATTTCAGTAAATGCATTTTAAGCAATTATCTGAACCAAAAGTCCATGTGCCAAAGATTTCTCAAGGACACTGAGGGCTATTATTATTATGTCCTTTCACTAAATAGCTTACTACAGTAACTGCTTCTGTTAAACTTAAAAAACGCTTTGGTAAAGTCAAGAACTCAAGAACTAAGTCAGTCCTCATTAAGAAAGAGAATGAGGCCCTCCCTGGTGGTGCAGTGGGTTAAAACACAGCACTAAGAAGCTTAAGCCACTTCCCAATAAGTTCGATCCCGCCTGCCCGGGAGGTGACCACATGGCGTGGCAGACCTCTCCTGACCTGCCCGCTGCTGCCCTCAGCAGTGTACTTTGTCGATCTGCCTGTTCTGCTCCCCGCTCTGTCTCTGGTGAATCCTCTCACCCTCCGCATCTCTGGCCTGTACCCCAGTTCTGTATGAATAAATCTTTAAAAAAAAAAACTATAAAAAAAAAAGAAAGAGAATGAGAGAAATACCATGAAAGAATTGTTTCATGTATTATTTTTAAATCCTATTAACTTTTAGACTTGTGCAGCCATCACTAAGCTCCAGTGATTGGTAAAAGCAACTGCAAGTTGGAGCTGAACATAAGCCAGATTTAAGATTACATTTCCTTTCATAACATTAAACTCACTTATATTTTAGTGTGTGCTGATTTTATTTCAAACACACTGGAAAAATTCACTTTGCCAAGTACTATTCCTGCCCTCTTATATTACCCAACATTGAGTGTTTGGAATGGAGTTTGTAAAGATAATATTTGGTAGCTCTTACTCAAGTGAATTTATTATGCAATTGTGTGCTTTGTACTAGGACTTGCATTTTTAAACTGTGTCATAGAACATAAAGTATACCTACAGCAGCCATGGAATTGAGCTGATCGATGTAGAATTCAGGCCAACTTGTTGCTCCCTTGTTTTCTTCCTGGTCCTAAAGAGGAAAAATATAAGTGATAATTTACCATATATGTACACATGATGGCCCTCAGCACATCTGACTTCCAGCCCATCTATATAAACCATGAGGAAACAGTGAGATGGCAGATTTTGTCTTTAAATGTTGGCTTTACATCATTGGCCCACTCACTTCATTTCATTTGGATGGTTTTCTTTTTTTTTTTTTTTTTTTTTAAGATTTATTTATTTATTTGTACAGAACTGGGGTACAGGCCAGAGATGTGGAGGGTGAGAGGATTCACCAGAGACAGAGCGGGGAGCAGAACAGGCAGATCGACGAAGTACACTGCTGAGGGGAGCAGCGGGCGGGTCAGGAGAGGTCTGCCACGCCATGTGGTAGCCTCCGGGGCAGGCGGGAATCGAACTCATGCGGAAGTGACTTTAGCTTCTTAGTGCTGTGCTTTAACCCGCTGCGCCACCAGGGAGGGCCTGGATGGTTTTCTTAATCATCACTTTCCACAGAAACTGTTGCAGTCTGAGTTAGTGTGACAAAGGGGAATTTTCTGAGCCACATATCAAGGGGAATTTAAATGGGGACTTTGGCACATGAGGGTGTGAGCTGTTCTCCTCAGGGACACAGTAGTATTAAGAAAGGTATTCTATTGCATGAACAAAGGATCTCTGGGCCCTATGTCACAGTGAGGACAGTACTAGATTATTCATCTGAATGAAATCCATGAGAGGGAAAACTGCCATTAAACTGACCACAGGAATCAGTCAGTTGTTAACTAGAGTTTTTCAGTTCATTTTATTCAGACTCCAGCAGCCAGTAAAAAATTTGAAGAAGGGTTCATTTTCTGTAACCTCTTCAGATGAGGGGGTAGAATAAGCCTAAAAATAAATAGAAGGTGATAAAAGGAACAAAACTTAATCCCAGGTCCAATACTCATGTTGTGACACCTTGTATTTGGATAGAAAGCCTGTGAGCTCTGGAGCGCTCAAACATGGGAGCGCTCAAATTCCTGAACCGCTCCAGTAAGTTTGGGTCTTACAAACAGCGTCATTTGAGGTCAGTATCGTTGCTGACTTGATTTTGTGGACGAGAGTCTGCACCAACCTGAATCCACATTGCCTGCCTGCGTGCACACACACACACACACACACATGCACGCTCATACACACATAATTGCACACAGTATCAAGTTGCTCTGGCCTCTGCTCAATCAGAGCACTGAGTCTATCAGAAGGTGATATTGTAGTCAGGGATTGCCATGCATGTTTGCAAACCTATGTACCAGAATTCATTTGTGGCATCAAACAGACTTAATGAGGACATGTTCAGCTCTTCGCTAGCTTCACCATTCAAATAGCACCATATATAATAAATTTCCTCTTCTCGTGTCCTCTATACAAGATGCTGCTCTAGCATGCACAGCTGCTACCTGACACTAAAACAGTTACTACTTATTTTGCATTAGCATCTCATTTAGTAGAACAATAATTATTGGTGCCAGAACCCCAATCTTGGAATAGTCGTTTCAAGATGGCGCTTTTAACTGCAGTCCTGTACTGTACTTCAAAAAAAGAACCCACCACTTTCTCTAAGCAAACTTTCTTCGGCAGTCTACTAGGGTAAGCGAAAGAAATGTAATTTCAAAACCATTCTTTAAGTATTCACCAAAAAAGGAGCAAAGTAATTATTGTTTAGGGTGCCTTAAAAGCTGGCAGTAACTGAATTTCATGTGGAAACTGACAAAGGCCACGGCAGTAGCTTTGAAGCTGGACTGGATTACACATCTATGATTTTAAAGAGTGTAGGAAACAGATGGGTTTGTAAAACAGCTCCTAATTATTATTAACTTGTTAATAAAATAGCTCACACTGGTAGCATAAATGCTGAACCCTCCTCTCCTCTTAAAATGGGGTATTTAAGTTAGCAAAATCCCACCATTACCAACACAGTCAGTGAGGCAAAGCCCAGTGACAGTGTATTTGAAACCATAAAATTAAATAGAACATGCCAGATCGTTTATTTCCCCAAAGTAGGGCATATTCCCAAAACTACAACAATATCATATCATGTCCCATATTCAAGATCCCATGAGTGCCTATCTGTTATAAGTTTAATACATTTGGCTACAGAACAGAAGTCATTTTAGAAACTGAAGGCTAGTGTATGACTTTACGTTCCAGAAATGCCCGAGTGATGTAAAAAGATCAAGAGTAGACCTAGCTATGATAGTCATAATAAGGGGAAGTCTTGTTTTTACTTCATATGCCTCAATGCTAAGACGACCAAATGTGCTAACACAGGTGAAAGTTTCCTGCAAATGCATTAAGTGTTATCTGTTTTACCTTTGGGGGGGGGGGTTATCCTTAGAATTTGCCATTTGGGCAATGTATTTCTAATTTCCTCTATGATGTTCTAGTCCATTTTTATAGACACGGGCTATAGGAGCTAAAGGAAGCTCACATCTGTGAATCAGCTCTCTTTTGCTCTCTTCTTTGCAGTTCAGCAAAGGCACAGGCCAGAACGAGATGAATACAACTGTCCTAGAAGTCCCCAGGAGAGCACACAAAACTGAGACATGCACGAGGGAAAGCCATGAAAGGAACTTCTCTCCAAACTGAATTATTATGCTATTCCTGAAGAGCACAGAGCCCTCTTATTATCAGCCTCCAACATGTATTATCCCTTGAGGCATCTATTTCAGTTCTGTGTTCCTTGCTCAGGAGAAACAAGTGGAAAAATATATGTGATTGTATACATTTTATTAGTTGTAGTGGGAGCAACAGTAACAGTCAACACATCTACAGCTTACTATGTGCTAGACTATTCCAAGTACTGTATTCATCATTTAAACTGCCCTATGAGGTAGTTGTTGTTATACTCGAGGGGAGAGACAGGCAGAGAGGACAGGTGAGCTGCCAAAGATCATCCTGCTGGAGACTCAGAGGCAGAGAGAAAGATCAGACTGCCGATTAATCACAAGTAACAGACATTAAGTGCAGAAGCTGGCCTTTCACTCTTGACTATTTTGTGATAAGAAACTCAAAACATGGCTAGTGTCCAAAAATGAGTTCAGCTTTCCCTAAACCTGATTGCTATTTTTGGGCCATTCAACATTTCTGAATATTAATCTCAGTCCTGAATTTTAACCCAGGTTACCTCTTATTTCCTTTTCCAGACTTTTTCTATGGGAACTCTTCAAGTTTTCAATGTCTTTTCTATCTTTATATGTGCAAACAGATAGCGTAGTTGAGAAGCTTTTTCTTAACCTGTTCTCCAATTCTTTTATATACTTCAGTTAAAAATTCACCTTTAGGATGATTTCTCAATAGTTCCTGAAGATAGCCTGATAGTACTGAGTGGCTATGGCACTGAAATTGTAAACAAAACACTCCTTAATCACACAACATGTGATACTTTTGATGACCTTTGCTACCAAATCCATGAGAACTTTTTTCTAATAATCAAGCTTACTGGCTTCATTCATTTTTTTTAAAAAAGCTTTCTCCTCCTCCCCAGCCTTTTATAAATGTTGGTAACACTTAATGACACCTAGAGGAAGTTGCCTATAGGATTAAAATTCTAACAGCCCTATTCAATGTTCTTTATTTTACTTACAGGATAGATAATCCTATTAAAATCTTATTTGTTCCCTCTTGAACTTTTTTTTTTTAAGATTTATTTATTTGTGCATACAGAACTGGGGTACAGTCCAGAGGCTCAGGGGTGGCGAGAGGCTTCACCAGAGACACAGTGGGGAGCAGAACAGGCCGATCGACGAAGTACACAGCTGAGGGGAGCAGCGGGTGGGTCAGGAGAGGTCTGCCATGCCATGTGGTCACCTCCGGGGCAGGCAGGAATCGAACTCATGCAGAAGTGGCTTTTAGCTTCTTAGTGTGGTGCTTTAACAGGCTGTGCCACCAGGGAGGGCCCCCTCTTGAACTTTTTATAAGAATTTTGATTCATATTCTTATCTTCAGGAAGTCTATTAGGTTATTAGGTATTAGAACAACATAAACACTTTGTGTTATTAAATTCTTTGCTGATTATTGGTTCTTCAGAATATTTGTAAGCAACCATTTATTTTCAGACAAATGGTATTGTAGAAAGATAACCAGATAGATCTTCTGAAGATATTCTACACCTAGTTTTAGAAAACTTACCAGATAAAAGCCTATCAATCAGCTTTTATTGGTAAGTTTGAGAACTTCTGTGTCCCTTGCCCCCCCCCCCAAAAAACGAGGGGTAAAACCAGACTTGTTGAAAAGTCCCTAATAGTCCAAGCTTCACAGCTTTAAGAGTGAGATGTCATGGAAAATACTGTATACGATGTATACTATATACAACAGTTTAAGCTCACAACTTCTAACATCAATTAAAACAACTAAGTTGTTCAACGACCTGGTTACAAAACTCATTTTCAATAGCTACTTCATTTCCTTCCTTGCCAATGGTTACTGGATGGTGGAACAATCAAACATTAATTGTTTTATTATTTCTGCAATCCAACTCACCCTGTTTCTTTGGGAGATTGTCCAGACACTGAGAAGTCTGCCGGTTGGCATTTATCTTTGATACTTTGTCTTCACCTCTACCTTGTACTGAGACCACTCTGACCTGTTTGTCTGCTCTACTCCCATTATTTAAAAGTTGAAAACAAACAAGCAAGCAAAAGCAAGCCTACTAGAAAGAGGAAGTTTAAGAAAGCTGACTTCTGTGTCTTTTTTAGCCAGGCTTTAATCAACCAACTCTTTTAGAAGATAAAGAAATACAGTCTTTCTAGCCTCGCTGTAATTTCAACTGCCACCTTTTTTAGTCCAAATAACTGCTGAGTGCCTAGTAAGAAATTCAAGAATTTCTCCCCTATCTTCTTTGAATTTTCACCAGTGCTTTTATTTTTCTCAGTATCACTTTGCCCATAAGAATAAATTTTGCACTGTTCCTTTGTCTGCATTCTTTCCAAAATAAACATTCACAGCTGTGTGTCTGAACTTGCATTTTTCAGGTCACTACCACTTTCTGTG